CTTCCAACTCTAAAGTCCTAGCCAAGTGGCAAGGGCCCTTCGAGGTCACACGGCAGGTGGGGGACGTCGACTACGAGGTGGTGCGGTCTGACAGGGGCGGGGGTACACAGATATACCACCAGAACCTCCTGAAAGCCTGGAGGGGGGTGGAGTCCGTCTCTCTGGTCTCTGCGGTATCGGAAGGGGAGGAGCTGGGGCCGGAGGTTCCAAAAGCAGGTAATCATACCTCGCTCCCTCGAGACGCTCATCTCTCCGAGAGCCAGAGGGTGGACGTTGCCAGGTTGCAGGAGCGGTTTGCTAATGTGTTCTCTCCCTTGCCAGGCCGGACCGACCTCATAGTTCACAGTATCGAGAAGCCCCCGGGCGTGACAGTGAGGTCACGACCCTACAGGTTGCCCGAACACAAGAAAGAAGTGGTTCGGAGGGAATTGGCGAGTATGTTGGAGTTGGGGGTAATAGAAGAGTCCAACAGTGCCTGGTGCAGCCCCATCGTCCTTGTGGCTAAGAAGGATGGATCTGTACGGTTCTGCGTGGACTATCGCAGGGTGAATGACGTGTCACGGTTCGATGCCTACCCAATGCCCCGGGTCGACGAACTCCTGGACCGGCTAGGCACTGCACGTTTCTTCACGACACTGGATTTAACCAAGGGCTACTGGCAGATTCCTCTGTCGCCAGAGTCCAAGGAGAAAACTGCATTCTCCACCCCGTACGGTTTGTACCAATTTACCACACTTCCCTTCGGGCTGTTTGGGGCCACGTTTCAGCGTCTCATGGATCGGGTGCTGCGTCCGCACGCGGCATATGCTGCCGCTTACCTGGACGACGTGATTATCCACAGCACCACCTGGGCGGAGCATGTGCGGCAGGTGGGCGCGGTGCTGGAGGCGCTGGGACGGGCGGGGCTCACCGCCAACCCAGGGAAGTGTGCGGTTGGACGGGTGGAGGTACGGTATTTGGGGTACCACTTGGGGGGGCGGGCAGGTGCGCCCTCAGGTGGACAAGACGACTGCTATCGCGGCCTGCCCGCGCCAAGACCAAAAAAGAGGTGAGGCGGTTCTTGGGGCTGGCAGGATATTACAGGCGGTTCATCCCCGGCTTCGCGGACCTCACCAGCCCCTTGACCGACCTGACCCGGAAAGGTGCGTCAGATCCAGTCCAGTGGTCGGAGCAGTGCCAGCAGGTGTTTGAGAAGGTAAAACAGGCTCTCTGTGGGGAACCACTCCTTCATACTCCTAACTTCTCTCTCCCCTTTATTCTGCAGACCGACGCGTCGAACAGGGGCTGGGGGCCGTTTTGTCCCAGGAGGTGGGGGGGGTGGACCGCCCCGTGGTGTACATCTGTAGGAAGCTGTCCGAGAGGGAGGCCAGGTACAGCACAGTAGAGAAGGAGTGCCTGGCCATCCGGTGGGCGGTCGACTCCCTACGCTACTACCTCCTGGGACGCTCATTCACCCTCTGTTCGGACCACGCCCCGCTCCAATGGCTCCACCGCATGAAAGATGCTAACGCCCGGATCACTCGGTGGTATCTGGCTCTTCAGCCTTTTAATTTCAAGGTGGTCCATAGGCCGGGGGCGCAGATGGTCGTGGCGGACTTTCTCTCCCGCCCTCTCGAGGGCGAGGGGGGGGAGTAGGTTCGGCCGGATGGCTCCCCGGCCTAAGTCGGGCGGTGGGGGTATGTGGTGGCGGGCGTGGTTTGGCTCGGCTGCAGGGGGAGACTGAGAAGGGAGTGGTTCAGGGAACGGTGCCGGGGGAGGCAATTGGCCTCAGCTGATGTTAATCAGCAATCAGTATTCTGCTGTTAAGTAGGAGAGATCCAGCGACAGCGAGGGAGCGAGGCGAGGAGGCTGGAGCCGGTGGCGTTGTGTGTGTGTGTGGAAATATCAATAAAAAACATTTACAATGGACCCGACTGCCTCGTGCCCGTCATTCCAAGACCCCCCCAGAGGACCAACCTGTTACAGTCACATATGTCCTTCTCAGCTGCTGTCCTATATCGTCTTGGAGTTGATCAAAGAAATGACTGATGTACTTACAGTAAAGCCAGAAAGAAAAATCAATTACGCAGACGGTGAGTAACCAGACATTTGCAATCAAAGTCACATATAGCGACACACTTTCAAAACGTTTGCAACTCATATGTTTGGACTTTGTTCAAATAAATGAAATGCTTTAGAGGTTTGGCCCCATAAACCTTTCCAACACCTGGAAAAAGGTTGATAAAAAATGTTATTTCTTTGTTAATACTTTCCAACTCCGAGTTTAGTTTATTAAATTTATTTACATCAGGGACCATCTCCAAAAACACATCCATCTCAAAAGAAGTGAAAGTTTTTGCAGATATTTCTGTGTTGCCTAAATAGTTCATACATGAGTCATACAAAGTATATAAAAACAGGTCATCAGGAGCGTGAACATCATCCAGCCTGAGACATGGTTTAATGGATTAATTCTGTTGTTATAATTATCCAACGTGGAAAGGTTTAATAACTAAAAACAACAATGGGAGCGCCGGTGGGATTGAAGAAGCACCCAAAGGACTGCTGGGAAAGGTTGTGTTTTTCCATGTTGTGTGTGTCCTCGGATACATAAATTGTATACATACAGTACACACGGCGTTCTCTGGGGAGATTCACACAGATCTCCATATCACTGCTGAATTGTCCACACATGTTGGCCTTTGGGTAAGTGCCCTATTTTAACTGGTGTGTTTGGTGCGTGCGTGTGTGTGTGTGAGTGTGAGTTGCTTTCAAGATGTGTGAGTGTCTATGGGAGGTTGTGTGAGTTACTGTACCGCCTCGTCTCTTCAGGGAGTGAGGGGAGTGCAATCTGCAGGAACAGCTAGGGGCCACTTTATATCCAAGTGAAGCGTTAAACAACCTCCACCCACCACACCCCTGAACACACACACACAAAAACACACACACACCTACACACACCTGCCTGATCGCAGGACTCGAGGGTCCAGTGATATACTAAGTGCTCTGAATTTCACAGACTTTGTAGACACTTAGGTAAACTGTCCCTGGACACTAATCCTGCTCAGGTGTGTGCGTGTGCGTTTGTGTGTGTGTTTGTTCTGTCTGTGTGAGAGAGAAAGAGATATGGGGGAGAGTACATACATGAAAGTGTTTCATTATGTGGATTTTAAGTATATAAAATGCAATAATCGATTTGCCAGTCAGTTGACTCACAGGACTCCCTATAAAATAGAAAACTAGACATGAGAGTGGCCCATTTACTTTTTATGGCCATGGAAAGAACCTCAGCAGCCCCATCCAGATGGGGGTGATGCATCTTAAGACTCACTTTAAGAGTGGCTTTCTGCCAAAGCTCATTATGGGACCCTGAAGAACAGATAAGGAAAGAAACAAAACTGTGTGCTATTATATTATAGTGCACTAAAGCTTATAAATCTCATCTTTGATTTCAACACAGCGCTCCTCTGTGGCAGTTTTACTTCTCTGTCAGGAACTTTTTGTTTAACAGCTTACCGTAGTTTTTTTTTAGGATAACTTGAAACCAAGTGGATGTCAAGAACAGGGAGGGAATGACAAAAGAGAGAAAACCGAGTGTGTGAGCGCTTCACCCACCGTCATAACATCACTGCTCTTTCTTCACACACCAGTGATATCAGACGTATAAATCAGCGTCCCGCTGCCAGCCTGCATGCGACTTCTTATCTAACTTTGTCTTTTATACTGCGCACACCGACATGGCAGAACACGGATTTTCTTACATGGGAAATTAGCGCGCATGGAGCTTAACAGTGACTAGGACTTTGGGGATATATAACATTTTGTATTATGTGCTGAATGGGCAGACCCGCTTCCTTTGCTTTCTGCCTTATAGCCTGGTTGGAGGTGCAAGTGGAATATAATACAGCAGCAACACATGTAGCATGCTGTGAAGTAACACAAATAAATCCACAATACCTCAATGTGAAAGCATGGGCCTATCTGTGGCCAATCAGATGTCGCCCTCATTTTCAACCAGTCACATTTGTTGAACTAGGCCGCCATCGTTGCCCAATTTGCAGCGGTGACTCGACGGGTCAGAGGTCAGCGAACAATGGCGTCTGGTAGTGACAGCGTTCCCGCTTACTGAAACATAACTAAAACATAATTAATGTACCTCCCCCTTTGTTATAAGACATGACATGTTCTTGAACCATGAATTATTAGTCTTGATAGGTTATGTTAGCGAAGATGATTCTGAAAATTGTTTGAAACTTATTTAGTTTCATCTTTAGCTCCATAAGCTTAGTTAGCTAACGTCCGCTAGTGTTGGCTACAGCTTCTGCATCTAATTTCTCTCTTAATATCTTTGTACTAAGTTACAATTATTGAAAACTGTGTGACAGAGTCTGTTGCCTCAAGCCCGAGGTAGCAGCACTTGTCTTATCCTCTCTACAAATGTATTGCATCTCTAAATTATTAATTTAACTAAATTCTAAATTGTTGTATAGTGACTAAGTTAACATTAACTTATCATCCTAGGTTGTTTGTATACCTTGTTTGTAAGCAGTTAGCTAACACTTAAAAAATACATTAAAATGCCGCAAGATACATTTATGATTTATGATTTAACATATTTGACGTAGCAATAATTCAACTCAAACTAAACTCATCATACACGCCACAAAACTTTAAACTTGAAGCGGGAGAGCCTTTACTACCAGACACACAAACAAATACAGAAAAATCCACAAATATATTTGTAATTTATTCATGTGTGGAATGTATTTATTCCGTGTGCATTCATGAGTCAAACGTATTTGTAAATCCTTCTGTGTTCATTTAAATATATTTGTGAATGGCTCGGTGTGCATTTGTGAGTTTCTGTGTGCATTTGCAATTATTGAGACTGACTTGACCTCGTATAAGCGTGGCGTCTTTAGTTACGTGTGTGTGTGAGGCTGCAGCGCCCTCTGCTGTCGGACCAGGGCACCACAGCAGTCGTCTCCTTGCGAGCGCTCTCTTCTCATTGGCCACCTGCAGTCACGTGGTCTAAACAGAATCATGGCGGCCGCAGCGGCTGTCCGCTCGGGCGTGGGGCTGACTTTGAGGCTTTCGAGGGCTTTGCCGGACTGCAGCTCTTGTCCCTTTCACCGGCCGAACGGCTGCGTGAGCGGCGCGGGCAGCTTACAGAGGCGGGGCTCCTTCGAGAGCTTTCGGACCATAAATCGACACTTGCAGACAAGTAAAGGTGAGTGATGCAGTTCGCTAACACTTTTAGCCCCAATCGCAGGGCTGTTTGTTGGCAACACGTCGGAAAAAGTTCTCGTGTGGAATTAAAGTGTCTACGCTTCTGTTGATGCCAGTGGAGTTTGCCCAGCAGGTGGTCGAGGGATAATCAGCTGTCGGGTTGGAAAGTCCGCTCAACAACTCTTGTGTAACTTCATCATTCCCAGATGGTTTCAGACGCCACGAGTGAAACATCCGGTAGCGACCGGAAGTGCCGAAGTCACTTCTGTCACCAGAAACACTCTTTGTTTTATTTACAGGTCTTTGCCACAGTGAGGAGGGAGGCTCCAATGCAGAAGACCAAGACGATGTGTAGGTTAACTAGTGACATTTAGTATTAATATTAATGTTATTGTTATTAATTAATACAGTGTTCTCAACTGGCATTGATCAATGCACACGTTATATTCAAAAATATTGGAACTCCAAACGTCAAGTCAGTGGAGGCCACATTTAATCTACAGGGAAATAATAACCCCTGGGGTTAAAATTGTTGCTGAGTCATGCTGAAGTTGCAATTTTTATTATTTGTTTTTGGACTGACACTGAACCAGTAGTACTCTAAACAGAATGCACACGCTGCATTTGAGACACATTTCCCCCTGAAGTTATTATTTTGAATTTTTGACAGTAAATTTGTTGTTGCAGCCCTAAAATGCAGCAAAACTAAATATGACAAAATACTAAATACAGACATTTTGTTACAATATTTTCCCAAGACATATTTTGGTAACAAATGTTCCTGATTCCTGGTAAAGGCCTGAACTGATCCAACACAGACTGATACTCCATACTTTAATACGATTACATTGTGAATCATTTTATCGAAGCTTCTCAACACATCATGAAAACATGATTCTAAAAGAATCATTAAAAGCCACCTGAACCTTTTTTTACATTTTTGTCTTCCTATAACTGCACCACAAGCAGCCGTATAGAGAAGAAAGCTGCTTCCACATCCTCTGTGCACATGTGAGATGTACGTGCCAACATACTGGCTAAATAGGTTTTTTAACCTGCTGCTGCTTTAGGGTGAACGTGGTGTATATAGACCGGTCGGGCCAGAGGATCCCGGTTAAGGCCAAAGTGGGAGACAATGTCATGTATCTGGCTCAGAGGCATGGAATTGAACTGGAAGGTGAGCACTTGCAGTTTACGTCATCTATTAAATATTTAATTGAAGCCCAACTTAAAGATGCTCATCGCTCATTATTTGTGTGTCTCTCTCATGTAGGAGCCTGCGAGGCATCGCTGGCCTGCTCAACGTGTCACGTCTACGTGACTTCTTCCCATTTTGACAAACTGGCAGAGCCTGATGAGAGGTAGGCCCACTGCATGGGACCTTTTCCTTAAGCACAGACAAACATTCGCGAGACGGTGAGAGGGAGACCGCTGTAAATGTTGACTGATATCTCTGCGTTGTAGGGAGGACGACATGCTGGATATGGCGCCCCTGCTTCAGGAGAACTCCCGGCTAGGATGCCAGATCATTCTCACCCCGGAGCTCGAGGGCATGGAGCTCACCTTGCCCACTGTCACCAGGAACTTCTACGTGGACGGTCACGTGCCCAAACCGCACTGAGAAGAGCAGGAGTGGAGAGTGGGGGGGGGCGCACAGGCTCGGCGCCTTGCTTGGTACCGCGAAGAGATGCTCGGCTACTCCCAGGCATCATTTCCCCACTGACAACTTCCACAGTTAACCAGTCACAGGACAGGCCTGCAGAGGACATCGGGCAGAGTCGGACACTATTTGAGCCTCACTGAAGGTGAAATGAATGGTTACCACCCAAAACATGAAACTGTGGTGGTTTGCAGACCATGTATTTATTCATGTGGAGTGTTCTCAAGCCAGCGACAAGACGACATTCAAACTCAAACTGTTCTTTGTGTCCCAGAGCAAGTTTCACCTTCGTGCCGCTCAACGGAACATTCCTCGTTACAGCTCGTAGAAGCACAAGTATTACAAGACGAGGTTCTTGGTCATTTCTGAAACTCTTGATTAATTTGTTAGATAGTGTGCATATACTTGCATTTTTGCCTACTAGTTTAAGTTAGCTGGCTGATCAATATGTACCTACTCACTAAAGTTACCCCCAAGTCATTGACCTGAAACACGTTTTCTTCTGCATGATACGGAGGCCAGACACGGAAGCAACTCTTCATGATGAAGTGCATTTCAGAAACAAGCGTTGCTTGAAGTTGAGCAGGCAAGGCTAACTAAGTCAATCAGAATTTAGACTGGTGAAACTTACATTTAATTCACTATGAACACTGCAAAACATATTTAGGTGAACTGGGTTTCAGGTGGCAGAAGGAAGGAGGAGGATTTATTTTAAAGCACTTGCTCTCAGTTTGAGGCGAGCTTTGATTTGGTTCTGTGAGCTTCTACGCTCAATGTTACCTTGGAATGACTCATACCACTTCTACCCTGCACTTGTTGAGGTCTACTGTACACGCTCTTACGCAAAAATGCAAGTAAACTGTATAGATATGAGAAATATTTCAAAGTTGTGCAATAAAATGCTTTTAGAAGTCATTTTGAACCCTGGCCTCATTCCTCAAAAACCTCAAACACTACAAGGACTAAAAGGGGGAATAAAGGCATAAATAATCGAATTGCACAGTTAGCAGGCGGCTACTGTTTGTAAAATGTTCCCCAGTAAATATCTGAACAAACATTTGTGTCCGGCTGCAGCAGCTAGCACGCGAAACTGGAGGTGCGCGCGCTGAAGGCTTTTATCCCCCAGTAGGTGTAATCTAGTAAACCCCAAACACCTGCGTGACGTTAACTCCTCCTGGTCCAAAACACGACCCGGGTCACAGCAGCCAGCTCGGGCCACTTGCCTGTAAACCGGCACACTTCCATTAATCGGTCGAGGCTGGATTGGGAGATCTGAGGTGAGCGCGTCTCGGGCCGGTGGAGCCGGTGGTTAGAGGCCGTGGCAGGTCGAGCACGGTGATCGGTGAGCTTGGTGGAGGAGTGTGGACGTACACCACAATCATAGTGAATGGATCGGAACATGCAACCCGAGTTCAGTGCAGACTGCGTGCTGCCTGTAGAGTGTATACCTCGAGTCGGATCGTGGGATAGAAATGCAGCCTAATAAGTCCACACTGGCAGAACATCAGCACTGTGTTGTGAAGGCCTAAGTGAACTAACAGCCGTCTTGCCGATTTAAGACTAAGTCTAATGACTCACACTTTAAGGGATTCTCCGTATTACAGCATATCGATCTGACTCGCTTTTGCGCTCGCGACACTCAAACTCCACAAAAACCGCGAAAACCTTCGACATCATGGACGGAAAATTTTACAATTGTGTCCTCGGACGCGTTTAAGCCACACGGAAAGACCCGGTGAGTCAATTAAGTTGCAATGTGTTAAAAGATACATCTGCCTGGATTCAAGGGGCTTCATGACTTATTTATGTTATCATTTTTGAGGAAGAAAATAATAATACTTTACCGGCGTTAGCTAATTCTCAGAAGGCCACGTCAGTCTAACGGTCTAACGCAAATAGTGAGGTCCTAATTAAACATTTTAATGGGTTTTATTTCTATAGCTTCGTGTTTTCTGGGAGCAGTTTGATTGAAGAGTCGATTTTCCGTCAGAAGAGGCGCAACTACAACAAAGTGAGGTGAAAAATGTCTAAAACCATTTTGTGTAGCGATTTTTATATTTGACAAAATACATCGATTCATTATTTTGTAGTTTGCCTGGTCGGTAACTACCGACCGTAAAAGTTGTTCATTCTTGTGACGCAGACAATCCCTCAACATGAGCACAGGACCAAGGAGACAAGCTGCCCTCGTCCCAGGAAACCAGAGCCCAGCGGGACTCGACGCCTCCACCCCGGCGCTCCTCTACCTTTTCCAAGAGGTTTCCAAGCTGGCGTCCCCCATCCACAACGGTTTCCTGGACACAAACCCACCCTCCGCATGGCTGCACGATCCTCCTGGACCAGGTCCTCTTCTAGTCAAAAAAGAGGGTGATGATGCGCGCCTGTTCTCTGCCTCCAGTGGTTCCTGCCAGTGTAGTGTGTCGCCTTATAAGCAGGTGAAAGAGGAGAGTGGCGGCGGCAGCGAGGTCATAGCGTTGGCTGAGCCACATCCTAAATGCAACAGCCCTTGGAAAGTGCTGAGTATGATCAATCTGCAGTGTGAGAGGATCCTCCACCCAGGAGATGTGGAGTCAGAACAAAGTCTGGTCTTAACCACAAAATCATTCCATGCGACAGACAAAGCATCGACTCCTACAGCAGATGCAGCGGATCAGGGAGTCGGCGGCGGCTGCGTAATTCGACACGAATGCGCTGTGAGACCATCTCTTCTCAGGCAGGACGTCCCAGCCTGTGTCGGTCTCGTGGAGGATGAGGACGACTGCAGCAGAGCCCCAAGTTATCAACCGCAGTGCCGCGACGTGGGCTTCCGTGTTCAGTCGCAGACGGGCGAAAATGTTGCAACGCTCACTGTTGACAGACAATTTGAGTGGAACCAGGTGTGTAAGAGGGGGCGTGTCTCTTCTGAACAAGACATTTTGCAGGCCCCCTTCTGTGAAAACGTTTTGTTCCAAACACCCATCCGCTATGCGTTCCTTAATGCCCAGCTGACTTTTAACTCAAAGGAAGCCCTGGATCACAATGCAAACCTCGCCCTGACTGCAGAGCCTCTGTGTGAGAGCCAGCTGCTCCCCCCGGAGCCTGTCAGGCCCCCTTCGGCATCGGCATCGCTTTTATTTGGCCTCACAGAGAAGTGTCAGTCCCTCGCAAAACGAGATGGCAAAACCACATCATCTAAACCAGAAGGTACACGCACTGCGGGAGAGGAAAAATGGCCTCCAGTTGCACAGCTGAAGGGCCCCAGTTACAATGGGGAAGCAAACCGCTCACCTTCTGCGCCGTCGACGACGGAGCCGAGGCCGCTACAGAAGGAGGAAGTCAAGTCTCCATCCATCAAGACTCTCAGAAAACAACCTCATCCCAGGCGCAGTGCTGATATCCAGGACCCAGACTTCCAGGGAGTGACGTTCCGGATGGACACGGAGCTGGACGACAGCAGGGGACAGTGTCGGCTCCTCATAACGTCAAAATACAGGTAGTGACAGATTCATTACACGTTTGCGTGGGCATCTAGTAAATGTGCACTTGGGTGACGGCCAACGGTACTATAGTTCACGTGCATTATCGCTGCCGTCTGCTGCAGCAAGGAGCTCCACAAGAGCGCGAGGAAACCCAGGCCCAGGACCCGGATGTCCCAGAAATCCATCAAAACGAGCAGCTCGGATGAGGAGAGTTACCTGACGCCGAGCGTTTCCAGTGAGTACCGCTCGAGTACCTGGCGGCTCTGTGGAGCTCATGTCACGCTCGTATTTCTACAGCTCCCGTAATGTAAAATGATCATCTCTTCCATACAAGATTAGTCAATTTCCTTCACTGTACAGTGTCAAAGAAAATTCCAGGTTTGGCTCAAAGGGTTTTAAAAGCTGAATACATAGAACCTTTTTATCCTCAGCTCCTCAACACCGATAATAAACTATTTTTTTATTATGCACGGAAAGCAACTTAACTTCATATTTATTATGAAATAAGTCATCCCATAATGATCGTGCTTTCAGACATATGTTAGGGTGCAGTTAGCGCATAATGCTGCCATGCTGTGTGTGTTTTTTAAATGAATGCATCAATATAACTTCACTCAATAGTTGACATAAAGCAGGTAGTATGTATTTATATGAAATGCCGCTTTGCTCCACTAGAGAGCGCCACCACCTCAAAACATGTGACTTGACAGCATCAGTCAGTCAGGGGGGGAAACCTTTTATTTGGGGAAACTATTGTGTAAATGTCCTGAAACCACAAGTATAAACTCAAGCTCCCTCAAACCGGGAAGGATTTAGACTTTGAGCTATGCAGCTATTTCTTTGTGTTGCTGTATTTAATTTCACACCATCTCTCCCTCGTCCTCCCCCATTTGAAACGACACACCCTCAACATTGGAAGTTTGCATGTGCTTTGAACTAGTTTGTATCTCCAGTATCCAGAGACCGGCGTCTCCTCTGACTCCTCCACCCAGAAACGCAGCCTCCTTCCCTTGTGTTTGCATCACTGCCCTTATTCTGATAGAAAGTAAAGCTGGTTTTTAAGTTCATACACTTGACACTGGCTATAAAACTAACATATGTTTCCTCTCGTTTTTGAAAGAGGGTAAAGCGTGTGAATCGTGCTGCACCAGGAAGACCCCCATGTGGAGGGACGCAGAGGACGGGACCCCACTCTGCAACGCCTGTGGAATCAGGTAGCTCATTCCAACCCCGAAGGCTGATGAATGCTATAAAAACATGCTTGAAACACACACGCACATCTATTCGATCACTACAGGAGCATAACGCCACGTTTCAATTTAACGGACTTTAGTACTAATGTTTTAGCAGACAAAAAGTTTTTGATTTTGTATATTGATGTTCAAGTTATTTAGTACGGAGAAATGGTATCATCCAACATGTAATAAGCTAGAACATATAAATAAATAGACTGCATTCAACGTATATAATGTATAATTGTATCCGAATATTTTTCAGTTAATTCTGTCCATCAACAATAACCGGAAACAAAAATTCAAACGATAAGAAATTATTTAATAAAATTGGCAACCAAAGAGACATGGAGAGCCCAAAATCTGAAATAGATTCCCAGCATAACACATATTGTCACTACTGGGTTTCATTTGCATGAAGTTGAACTTAAATAAGTTTCTTCTTTTGTATTGTTAGAAGTTTACTAGAGTAAATTTGAACTTCTCAATACATATCAAAGAAACCTGCAGCTCACATGAAACACGTGCAGCATCTTTAATAACAGAAAGAAACGGCGTTTGCTTCTGTGTGAAGCGGAATGAGCCTGAGTTGCACTGATCCCAGATGGACCACGTTACACGTGGTATAAATGTCAGCGATGACTAACAAAAGGGGGCCGACGCTGCTGTGTTTTTCCTGTCCCGTCTCTTCAAGGTACAAGAAGTACAGAGTGCGCTGCGTCAAATGCTGGCACATCCCCCGAAAAGAGGGCAACTCCAACTCGCGCTGCCTCAAGTGTGGAAGCCTTTTGAGGCAGACGTCAGCTCAGCGGAAACACGCCGCCTAGAGAAACGCACTCGCGGCGAAGGATTTTCCGTGCGTGTGTTCACTGCAGTGAGAATAATTTAAATAGATGTGTGTGTGTGTGTGTGTGTGCGCGTGTTGCATGGATTGTGATGTGCATTAAATGCTGTATAAAACATTGATGGGTTTCTGGGTTATTTGTAGGCACATGAGACGCTCTTGATGTGAAGCCCCTGTGGAAGGTGCAATGATGATGATGAAATGGGGGGATAGTTCCAGAGATCACGTCAAACCAGAGGAACAAGGAGGAATTGTTCATTAGTGGGACTTCCCACCGTCTCATAGGCCCATTTGCTCGGTGGTGGGTGGCCACACGTGAGCTGATACACTGCAGCTATTATTCCAAATCCCACAACCCCGAAGGAAATGAGCGCAAGCCAAGAGCAGAAAAAACATTAAACATTTTTCAAACCCCCCCCTCACTTAAACATCATCCTTAATGAATGATCCAACCAGTAAGCACAATACAATAAAACACAGATTTATTTTTAAAATGGCATAGACCTTAAATCCATTATGCACATGGTCTGTTTTCAGTCAGAGTAATAAAGGAGTGGAAAAATGATTTTATCCCCCCCCCCCCCCCCCGCTCCGGCTCCTGCTACATCAAAACACTTGATACCCTGAACAATTGTGTTTGTTTGCTTCATAATATTCTCATATTATTATGTTTGTCGAGACAAATTACCCTGCACATAGTGTGGATTTATAGCTACTGAACAATAAAAACAAAACTCACATTTGGCTATTACTATTAATGGGGGTGAATCAATACACCAGTAATATTCATTATAAGATCTGATTCAAACCTTCAGTGTCCAAAGCGCCGCGTGTCCGAGAGCATCTGCTGTTGTTTTGATGAAAGAGGAGGAGGAGAAAGTTTGACTGGGAGGCTGAGCGGGTCTGGAGATGTCCGGTGTGAGGAGGGGGGGAGAAGGGGGGGAGAAGGGGATCTGCACATCAGCGCATGTTGGGGCCGCCGTGCCACCGGACACATTTAGGACCATGACCTTGCAAGGCAAAGTCGTGCGGGAGACGGACGGAGGAGAGGAAGTGGACAAGGGAACTCTTCCAGCGACAGAGTCCAAACGAAGCGCTCCGTCATTCGGGGGAGTGCGGCAGGAGGGAGACTCTGCGGTCCGGCTCCAGGAGGCTCCGGACGGGGTGACCTTCCCGGTGAAGCCCCCGTACTCTTACATCGCTCTCATCACCATGGCAATCCTTCAGAGCCCGAGGAAGAGACTCACCCTCAGCGAGATATGCGATTTCATCAGCGAGCGCTTCGCCTATTATCGGGAGAAGTTCCCCGCGTGGCAGAACTCCATCCGGCACAACTTATCCCTGAACGACTGCTTCGTCAAAACGCCCCGGGAGCCCGGGAACCCCGGGAAGGGGAATTACTGGACCCTGGATCCCATGTCGGCAGGCATGTTCGAAAACGGGAGTTTTCTCCGTCGGCGGAAACGCTTCAAGAGACAGCACCTGTTTTGGGGCGCGCGCAAGGAGCTCAGGGCGAAGGAGCGCGGCGCGCTGCCGGCGTTTCCTCTCCTCGGAGCGCACAGGGTGAGCTACTTTCCCCCCCACGGCCACGGCTTCTTCCACGATCTGGGATTAAGGGCTAGATTCAGCCCACAGACTGGTCCCGTACCAGCACTCTCCTCGCTCCTCTCCAAGAGCTTCCCCTCGTGTCTGCGCCTGGAGCCCTGCGGCCCGGGACGCTACGCCGCTGTCCCGAGTCCGTGTCCAAGTGGCACCGAGTGGTTCCCAACGAGGCCGTTCCTCAGCTGTCCGGTCCCTCCACTGGGGCCCTAAAAGGTTCTTCTAATTTATTGATGCGATGGCCGGCAGTCGATGAATCTTCTTGCGTTCATTTTGAGAATAAACCGCAATGTGTCCAAATACAGCTTTGAACGAGGTGATGGAAACGCCTGCAGACCTCCAATATATTTTGGAATGACCGGTACTGTGCAGGTTTTAATATATGTTTAGGCCTACTATATGTAATAAAACGTGATTGAATTTGCAGATTTGGTAAGAAGGAAACATAAAGCCTGCTAATGCTATGCGTTTCTTCATTGATATTTTGATCGACTGTACAAATAATTATTTTCTACCTAAAATAACAGAATCAGATCATTTTTGGGCAACGGATTCCATTTGATGAATAGAATAACGGAGCTATTATAATAAAATGTAACCCTTTGTTGTTGTTATGTTCATCTCCCCGACAGAACTTTACGGACCTCCAAACAAATGGATTTTTTCGCTGGTTTATTAAAGGTTCACATTAAACAAAAGAAAAGATATGCACATTTAATCCCTCCCTTGATTTCTGATTTCCTCCACATCACTTGAAACAAGTGCTGCTTTAAAAAAATCCTCATCAAAAAAAACAACGAGTAAACTGCTTTTGTTTGTTTGTTTTCATGTTGAAACGTGAGCGGTGAAGTGCGCTCGATTTCAGGGAAGATTCTGGTTGTTCAGCAAAAACACCTCAGCTAAAAAATACATCATTATACTGAAAATATTAATTTATAATGGACCTCTTTTTAAGATATGGGTTATATTATCAACATTTTAATAGCTTTGAGAAGAGTGAATATTTTCAGTATACTTGTTATCATTTGTGAATGAGAGAGAGACTCTGATCTGATGACTACAACATGTAAATTTACATTTTTGAAAATATTTGATCTGTGTTTGTCAGAGATCATATCAAAAGAGTGTAAGCATGTTAATAATAGTTGATAATCTGCTTCCCGGTCTCCAAACCTCCTTAACTGTAAAAAAAAAAAAAACATTCCCAGGAAAAACTTCAGATGTGTTAGATTATATTCTATTTTTTAAACAAAACATCAAGGATTTCTGCACATGAAGATGTGCATGGGGATACATTGAGTCAGTATTCCTTTTATTTTATTATAATAATGTGGAGGATTATTTTTCCAGATTATTCCTTTATTCCAGAGGACTCAGTAAATGAGTGGAGGAAATCTCCCCCTGATGATGCTGCTGGTGTGAGTGGGATGTGGCTCATCTGTAAACATCTGCCTTCCACATATACCCCTTCAGGGAGCAGTTGGCCTTCCCTGGCAATCTCACTCATATTTGGGTTTTATTCGATGCAGCTCACATGCACTCACAGTCCCGTTCCCTCCATTGGAAAGGCAGGAACGGGACTGCAGAGCCCCGTGTGTGTGTGTGTGTGTGTGCGCGCGTGCGTGCGTAAGGGGAATAGCATGACCACACGCTCACATTGGCATTACTCAAATGCCGATATTTGGTTTAATACAATACGTTCACGACTGTACGTTAGTAGACCAGAGGGGCTTTGAAATAGGAGGCAGACACAAGAGACTATAGTGTAAATTACAGAAGATGACTTATTTACAAAAGCTCCCTGCTACACATGCAATCAAACATATTTACAAACAACGAATTCATTCAATTTAACTTGAATAAACTGAAGGCAACGTAAGGAAACTTAATGAGGTGCACACATGTACACTGATGTTCCTCCCTCCTCCTGTGACAGTCCATGTTCTCTCCCTTTTGTAGAGCTGTCAATCAGACAGGTATAAGTCCTGCATGCATGTTTGATTGCAGAGCGCTATGTGCAAAGCACCGTTTCACATTTCCTAAATAAGACTTTTGTGGAGGCGATGGCATTAACTGAACCAAATGTATTTAAAACTTCAGAAGAGAAGAGAACAGATTACACTGGTGTGAGAGGATTCCTTCTTCATTAGCCTCAGATTACAGACTGGGAAACCTTCCAACCCGTCAGGTCCTCACAGATCAGAGTAAAGGACTTGAACTTCTAGACATGAATCCTTTTCTTCCAAAAAGTGTTTGGTCTTTCTTTTGTCTTTATTTAAGTACTTGCTTTGGTTCTTTCACTACAATGTTTCATTGGCTTATGTCATTATGTCTCTTGGATAGAGTAACTATCACAAGCAACCAACTATAAGGAGTGTGTCGATGGAGAGGTGGAGGAGAGTCCTTGGTCCTGCAGCCTGTACATATCACAAATACCCCCCTCTGTGCGCCCCCCACCCCCCTCTAAACCGCTCCACCCTGCTGCTCTGTACCGCATCCACCGCGGCCCCAAGTGCTCATAAAACCAAGCTGACAGGTGCTAGAGACCTGAGCCAGGGAAACAAGCGTTGGAGGGATCATTAATGAGCTCCTTTGGAACTTTGGAATCACACAAATCACTCTTTCAAAAAAAGACAATAACTGCTGTTGTTACACCCAAATTTAATGTTTTTTTGTTCTTGTGGGAGAAACGTGGGAGACCTGAACCGGCAGAAACAAACAGCTGCAGAGTGTTTTGTGTTTGATAAAAAAGAAACGCACTTCAACTCTCAGACACCCGCTGGCCAGATTGGGAGAATTTTGAAGGAGTGGCATGACTCGGAGTTTCTTTTCCTGATGTTGTGTTGTGTTGACAAGCCTCCGAGCATGCGGCTTCAAAAGGACCACCCTGGTTGACTCTCATAAAAGCTCTCTGCCCTTGACCCTTTCCTCTCTTTGCATGTGAGATGGTGAACTTCTGTCTTCTGGGTTGGCTGCTTTGTTATCTTTTGCGTCATGCTCGTTTTGGTGAAGTTGGGGAATAATAATCAATACATTGTATAATATATTATTTATCCATACTGTATATTCCACTCCATTCATCAACCCTCATTACATGTGCACAATATCTTGGTTAATGATGTGGTCCATGAAGAGTATTCAGACCTCCTCACTTCTTTGGGTTGTTGAAGATATAAATAAATAATAAGTGATCTTCCTCCTATCAATCTACAGTAAAGACGCCCAAAAGACAAAGCAAATTGTTGTTGCTTTGTCTTTTAAAAACATGTTTTAATCACATTGACATAATTTTATCCAGACCCTTAACTTAAGTAAGTTACAGCACATTTATACCACCAAGTTCGTGGCCCACTCCCTCCACGCCCTCCTCCCAACACTGCTCCGTTTGGCCGGGCAGCCAGCTGCAGGGAAAGTCCTTCTTTCATTGAAGAACAATGCAGCATACTTTTTAATGTCCTTCAGCAGAACAATGCCTCTCCACATTCCTGTCTCTGAGCCCTGCCAGCAGTTCTCTCAACCTCGTATTTTAGTTTTGGTTCTGAGCATCACCAGCTGTGAGTCCTTACATGGATGGAGTGCCGTTCTAGAGCGGACCCGATCGATTCAACTCACCCCAGGTGGACGCCAATCAAGGTGTGGAAACGTCTCAAAGATGTCAGGAGAAGCTGGAGGCATCTGGGCTGATGATGTATGGAATTACCACGGATAACATTTTTTGAGTGTGAAAATACAGCTGGATTCATCTGGTATTTCAAACGAATAGGCCTTGTTTGTAAAACTCAGACACGTAAATAGTGTTTTTTATCAGGGATCTATTTGACATTTACATGTGAAAAGCCTTTATTGGGCCTAGTTTCACCACTTGTGAAAGTCCTAGCTGCATAACTAGCGTGTAGGCCCTGATTGCATAATTCTCCATGCGCACCTAACCCTTACATTAGCACATCTACCATCTAGATAAGTTCAGAGTTTCAGACCACTCCGTTGTCAAATATTCCACGCCAAACTTTCCAAATTACGACCTCCAACTATTCCGGGTGCACAGCGCACAAACATTGGCAAGCGATCGCGACAGTATGAAACATCAAATATATGACACATCGTTCAACACACAGGCCACATATTCCCATATTGCTCATGCTATTTATCTTGACTCAACTAAATGTCCACACAAAGTCAATGTCAGAACATAGGAACTACAATATGGAACCAATCTGCAGAACATCCCCCAGTTATTGACAACGTGTAACAGAAATAAGTGAATGTGCAGGTCAGAGTCCTCGAGTTCAGTGCTGACCCCGAACGGCCACAAGTAGAGCAGGAAAGCAAACAATACCAGGACTTACAGTAAAAACAATAAGAATACACAAGAAAGGAGATACACATGAGCACCGGACTCATAGCCCCTCTACAAAAGATTAAAAAGTCCCAGTTGAAAGGCATGAAAGCTGAATACGTCCCGCCATGTGGTTGCCAGATTTGTTGCAGATTTCCCATCCAAGCGCAAGTTTTGCTGCTTTTTGGGCGAGGGGAGGTGAATGGGCGGGTCATTACAACATGAGCGAGCCTGTTTCATTTCAGACAGCTAGTGACGGGCGGCTCGTGTGTGTGTGTGTGTGTGTGTGTGCCAAAGCTCCATCCACAGTGATCATGTACATGCTTTACATCTGATGCTCAACTGTTACCGGAGCGGAGAAGAAAGAAGCCGTCTGTCAGACTGTGCGCTTTAATGAAATCCTCAGTGTTTGTTAATGTTTGCCGCAGTCATGATTTATGAGGTGGAATGAAAAGAAGATGACAGATGAAAGAAATGAATTGCTCTAGTGAGGGATCAAAGTTTCAATCAAAACATGAGTCTGCTTTTTTTTAATTCTGAGTTGTTTGCCAAACGAAACACATAATAAAACTACAAGGACTGCTCTCAAATTATATTTGACTTAGAAATAAGACATTTGAGTTGCGTTCTTCAAAGCTGATGGTTGCCCACACGGGGAGAAATTATGTCATATTTGTCCCTGAGATGGAAGTGCGGAAAAAAGCAGACTTTCGTTAGATGTCTGTTTAACAAAACTGATTTGCTTTTACTTTTTTAAACCATGAGTGGTGGCATGTTACACAAGTAATTGTGGTACACATGTTAACCCTCTTTATGGGAGTTTTTTTCCTTTTTGGGGTATCCATCCCTCGGTCATGATAATTAAATAAAATTGGGCTATAATTTTCATGTATTTTCATCAGAACAACTGACTACCTATGGGATCTGTTTCATTCTGAAAAGTCAGCTTTTAAAAAACCAACATGGAGCAGTTGAACATTTTGATTCCAAACAAAATGGGCCATTATTTTTGGTCCCAAAATCTACGATTATGCTCAAAGGCGTAATCATAATCATAATCTACGATTACGCTCAAAGGCGTTCATGCTCAATGAACTCATACATTCCTCTTTGAATCGCCAGAGGGCGTACAAAGACCATGAGGTGGGAAAACAAGCCGACAATGTCAGTAAAAAGCAATAAATCAACCTCCAAAGAGACGGTTATCAACTGTTATCCACCAGCTAACAATGTGGGACATTTAGTTGCTCAGAGGCCGTTCATTTCCTCAGGAGAGGGTGGAGACCAAAGACAGAGCTAAAAGAGAGCGAATATGGACTTAAGAATCATCAGGTGACCATTAACACAACTCCAGTTTGTTTGCAAGTTCCCCATATGAAATCCTCAGTGTTTGTTAATGTTTGCCGCAGTCACCAAGGGACAAAAAATTACGCTGAATGTTTGTCATGTAGATGAAACACATGTTGATTTTTTTATTCTTAAATTGTTTAGACATTTTCTTGCCACGCATTGTGCACTACGATAAATATGTATAGACACGTGTACACACTTTTCATACCTCTAAGCTCATATATGTGCACAATCCAAGTAATTACTCCAAATAGTTTGGAAGAAATCCAGCTGTTTTATTCTCAGCATTTATTGCTCTATAATGGGTGAGAAAGATATGTTTCACAGAAGAACAACAACTATTACAACGCCAGGGGGGATAAAAAACACAAAGCACCCAATGAACAGAGAATCAATGAAAAGACGTTTTAATAGTTCCACGGATCACCAAACGCTTGAGCGCATGTGGATTGAGGCCTCTGTTATCCGTAAGCGCTGCCTACGCTTGCTGGTTTAACCAAGTATCTCATCATGAGAATGATTTTTGGGGCCAGCTGAGCCGGTGGGGACACGAAGGCTGAGGGAGGTGTTAAAGATGCAATGCAAACAAAATGGTGCACTTTATATGGTGTTCTATGGCCGGGACTCATAAATTCAGATGTTTTCTGTCACTAGGAGGGCAGTTTTAATGTCGTGCTGTGTAACAAGCCACATCTTTGTTCTCTTAAAATTTATTAATTTGGCCTCAGCTTTCATCCAGAGTTTATAGGCCCTTGAAATCCCAGAGAAAGGGTTTGTTGCACAAGCCTCACCCACTGTTAGCTATGTTTAAATAACACCTCTGAACCACAAAGACACACACACACACACACACACACACACACACACACACACACACACAAAGAAACAGTGAGTTCATCGGAACCAAAGAAAAAAATATATAGATGTTCAACCAAAGCTGAACATAAAAATAAATGTGAACATTTTGTGTGCTGACTAAATCACTAAATCTGACTGCATAAATTCAGAGCTGGAGGTAGAAAAATGTGACAGATTTATGTTTCAAAAGGACTCGTGTATGTTGTAATCAAAGGTTTAATTTGAGTCACCTCGAACCAATTTGGTAGTTTCACCATGTGGTTAAATGTGATGAAAAGTAACAATGATATTACTGTGTGTAGCACAGTGGCCTGTTCTGGAGCTTTCAATGACATTTCAAATAAAAGTTTGCCCAGAGCTCGAATTTCAATGTTTTCTTATTTGAGAAAAAGTAAAATATTAACAATGTTACGATTCGATAACAATGAACAATTCAAATTGCTCATAATCTGTTGTTTTGAGTTCGTCTTGTGGTGTTCTTTATGTAAATAGACAAACTTGAATGTATACTGACTGGTTGCCGGGTAAAGAATACATTTGTTTGATTAAGATTCAATGTTTTATTCAAACACGTGAAGTGAAATGTAAGGTGATGTACTATTGGGGATGTGTTAAAAAGGATAGTCAGCATGAAATAGAACAATTTAAATAAATCCAAAGATTAAAAGAATGTAAAGAACTAAGAAGGCCAATTAGGGTGTTCAGGTTTGTAGCATGAGTTAAAGAGCTCTGCTTTTTCATGTTCAACACTGAGGTCTATTTCAGATGAGTCTGTAGTTCCTGTGCAAGTTCAACCTGCCTGTAATTCAACCCCCTTCTAAACACACACACACACACAGTAACTGGACATGTTTTGACAGGTGGTCATCATCGGTTTATACTGTATAATAGCAGCCTGCCGACGTTCCTCCGGGAACGGAAGAAGAGATGGAAAGGGAACCGATGTGTTTGTGTTACGTGTAACCAAATGACAGACAACCACAGAAAACACAGACACACACACACACACACACACACACACACACACACACACACATTTAGTGCAGAGAGCGCTTGAGGAGGATGGAGAGGGAAGCTGTGATTTCAGTCACAATGCATCCAGTTGTCAACGACCCTCGTGACTAAAAGCCTTTTCATTCCCTGCTCTGTATTTCATACAGCACATCTGGTGGACAGATGTCTATCTCTCCTCCATCTCTTATTTTCTTTCCCTCTTTACTTGGTTTCCCCTTCAGGCGGGCCTGGTGTTAATCCCTCTCTCCTCCACCTGGTGCAGACCACCCACACACTGAGCGCTGTGGCGGCAGCCCACCAGCAGAGAGCCAGTGTGTGCGTGTGTGTGCGTGTGTGTGTGTGTGTGTGTGTGTGTGTGTGTGTGTTACACATCGTCATGCCCACAATGGAACAACTGTACTTACATTTACACATGAGCAACAATAACATGTGGACCATGTTTGGAGCCAAATGTTTGCTTCTGATAGCACATAAAGCTCTCATTTTATAAATGAAACAAATATCACTGCTATCATTTGGTTTTTTTTACATTTCATAAACAGCACAAGATGAAATATATGGGCTAAGCAACGTCTCATTCTCTCTTTTCATAGATGGAAAGCACTTGCTTGTTTGTCTAAAGTGTGCTTTGTCTTGTTGATTTGTTTTAAATTGTATTTTTGCAACTATTGTACTGTAATTAAACTGTACACCTGGTGAAACATTTACACAGTGGCTTCCGCTGTTCTGTTGTTTTTTTGTAATGTAAAATATTTTTTACTTTTAATACAGATGGCATAATGACAGGGGTCATGGGGAACTATGACGATGAACACGTCCCTTTAAACCGTCGAGTTAAGCGTCTTAGACTTTTAGTCAAAGTTTAGTAATACTTTAGTCTCTGTGGCCATCTAGTGGTCAACCAAGTACACAACGTTATCTCCTCCCACGCTGTGAATAAACAAATACAGACTTATATGAGAAGTTAGTTTACTAGAAGTCTGAGCTTAACTGATGACGTTGAATGCAACTGTAATTAAGGTTATAATGTTTATACGGTTCGGTTGTTATTGAAACTGTTTTAGAGAGAAGTTGATTGACTGTAGGGTGTTGTACTCTGTACTCTTATTTCGCCTACATTCATTGACATAAATGTGGTGGACGAAATAATAAAAACCTTGTCCTTACTGGGCGAGGAAGAAAAACAGGTCTGCAGGTGGTTTAAAAATGGATTCTCTAGTCTTCCAGAGTGGAACGTGAGGAAAAATAAAAGAACAAAAATGAATCGTCTCTCGAAATGAGAGAGTAGTGTAGCATATCAAAGTAGATTTGATAATTATATATATGTATATATATATACTCATACACATGCAGCATAAAACAGAAGAGGTGGTTTCAACATTATATTATCTACAGCATGTGTAGCAGCCTCCCTCCGTTGTCAGAAAAACAGCAGCACATGAGCAACAAAGCCTCTCGGATAAGAAAGCATGCAGCGTTTTATCCAAAACAAATAATCAAGTCAGGAGCAAGTGAGCCCCAAACAGGAACTCATGTATGTGGGATTGGCGGGTAAAAGTGAGGGAGAACGTGGAAAAGTGATGGTGTGTTTCCTATTATTGTAGGATGGGGGTCGACGGCCGAGTCCCTCCGCCACGCTGCCGGCACACCGGTGGAATCCAGACAGCGGCTGTGCTGATGATGAGAAATATGAGAGAGGAAGACACAATATGCTGTTGTTCCATGTGGTGTCATCGTGACCCGAGGGCCAGACACACACACACACACACACACACACACACACACACACACATTGTACCCTCACACCAAACTCTAAGTCAAGTCTGAACCCTCAAACAACCCTTTGAAGAAGTGAGGACTTTCCAAAACTCTGAAGATCTGTAGCTTGTCCCCACAAAGATAGATGGACAGATACGAACGTGTGCGCACACACACACACACACACACACACACACACACACACACACACACACACACACACAGGCTATTGTCAGTGTTCATCTCATATGGAAATATTTGTAGTTGTGTTGCCAAAAGTGGAAGTGGATGCGAGTGGTCTGTAGTGCACTCGTGAAGTTGCACGTATTCCGGCGCAGGTGATGGCGCCGCAGGGTCAAAGGTCATGCTGAGGCTTTGAGGTCGGGTGAGTCAGACCAGCCCTCCCAGCGAGGACAAGAGAGTCCGAGAGACGGACTCTTGACAGCGTCGTCCTCTCTGCTGCCTGTCTACTCTGGTGGAGCCCACGTGGAATGTGTTATCCTAAGTAACAGTCAGAGTGCAGAGAAATGAACATGAATACAAAAGACAAAGATTTCTGCACAAAATCTGAATATAATAGGTATGATAATCATACTCCTGTCAGTTTATAGCTGTGACAGTACTGATAGTTCTTCTAAATGACCATTAGATAAGTTAACATCTCTGGGTCCATCTCAGCCTTCTCCTTCTATGCGTAAAAGAGTTAAATATTTAACTCACTATCTTCAGTACATTTAGAATATTTTCTTTACTCTCTTTCTTTACATAGTTCTAAATATGTCTTTTGGTAAACACGGCAACGTGCTGTTTACACTGCAGAAGAGCGGTGCAATCAAACACCACCACAGGATTTCTATGTTGTACAATCGGAATGAAGCACCTCATGAAAACACGTTGCTTTCCTGGCCCGTGTTCAGCTGTTGACGTGGAATGTACAGTGTGGCTGCAATCAAGGAAATTATTGATAAAAGCCATTGGGCTCTGATTGGCCCACAGTTGCCTCCCGCCTAGCTAAGTGAGTCTATTCTGAGACAAAGAAGGAGCACTTTCTCCTCCTCTGTCTCACCCTCCTTCCTTTCTTTTTCCTCTCGTCCTTTAGTTTTCATCACCTTCCTGTCCTTTCCTCATCCTACGATTCACCCCCGTCCTTCAAATCAGCGGGGTCTTTGATTTCTTTTTCTCATGGAGGATGAGGAGTATTGGTACCCTCGCACCTGCGGCTGTGGCAGATACATCCTGTTTGGAGAAGGCCTTACCCCTTCCACTGTCCCCCCTCCCGCCTCCCCCTCGCTTCATTCTGCTCTGCCAAACCAGGAAGTGTGCACAGGAAACAGCTGTCCCTCGCGTCCGGCCGATCAACCCAGTCCAGGTGCATCCTGGGAACGGAGCAATGTGTGACCGTCGACATGTGGCCGTCATGGTACGATGTGTCGTTACAGAAATCAGGATCACCACCAACTTTATACAGCGACAAGATCAAATGAAAGCTCCTTGCTGAGATGTTTGTGCCTCAGCGCCACGGATCAGTGATGTGAGATCTTTTCATCTGATTGAGACGGGATACACGGGATCATTTCTTTGCTTAAAATGTTTTTCACCGGTTCTATCCTCTACTTATATCATAAACTGATTAAACAAATGTTAAAATATCTATTTGGTCAACTATGTGACGTGATAATAGGCCTGCAGTCATGCTCATGATCTCGTGTCTTTCGTGTACGTGTGTGCGGTCAGATCCTGGGCTGGTTAGTGGACACGTCCTTATGCTTTGTCCCCCATCGCCCACACGTCATTTTGTGTAGTACGATGGCCGGTCACCTGCAAAATCTGGACAAATAATAGAGTTGACGTCTGTCGCAGCAGAGGAGGAGAGAGAGTGTCTGTCCCGGCCAGCGCTCACAGCATTGTTTGTCACTTTCTCCATGAAATGCGCTGCGAATATTGCCTCAAACAATTATGTTCCAGTAATCCTATCGGCCGGCACACAATGGTGTTTACACGACGTGGAGGAAATGTGGCCATGGAGCCCACTTCAGGGAGTGTGTGCTTTTGTGGGAACGTGAGTGTGTGTTCATATGCCTTTCATGATGTTCACACTGTCTTTTGTGAACGTGAGGAATCTGGTATCTGGTCTATGGGCAGCGGCTAGAGGAGGCTAATGTTGGCTCATTTTAGACGTATATTGTGTAAAGAGAATATCTTTGTCAGTGTCCTGTTTTTCATGTCTCTCATAAAGAAACAAAAGGGGTGGAACGGACATTAAATTAATTCTTTCCCATTTGACAAGTACAAAATATAATGGGGGTAATTATTAGCGGTTATCATGGTGAGAGCAGAGGTCAGTGGGGCCGTAAAGTATTGTTAGCTAGTTACCTGGCGTACAGATGGTACACCTCAACAAAACTAAATTAAACTGATGCAAAAAAAAAGAAATTACCTAATGAATGAAAGCTGCTTCTTACCGGAATCCAACAAACATGATATCTCAATAACAGGACACAATATGATAGTAACAGAATGTAATTTACTGCAGAACTATTTCATGTATCCCAGAACAACAATAACAATAACATCACAAACAATTGACACTAATGTCTGCTGTGAAAAAGGTTTATACGGAGAACCTCAACAGTTACCATCAAACAACCGTAGTGGTAACTTTGATGCCATTGGCCTGAAATCAAGATGGCAGAATGTAATCAAGATGGCAGAATAAACCCTATCAGTGTTGAGCTACGTGGGTGAGTGCAACCTTTTCACTCTATCCAGCATTAGTTGCATTATCTTGCAATAAGAGACACTGGTTTCACAAAGCAAGGTCTAAAGGTTCATTTAAAAAGTGTCTTTGCGTCAACCACTTCTGTCTGCAAATCATGCACTTTTTCTGCAATTGTTACAAAAGAGAAAGGAGAGATTAACATTGGTGGTGCAACACAATTAATAAGCTATAATAGTTTCCTAGAGTCATTTTGCACACTGAAACGCCGCAACGTTTTGTCTTTGCAGAAGGGACACAGTCACATCAGTTAGTGCTGCATATTCATTTTGGTTTCTGGACTACAACTTGACAGCTGGTTCTTCATTTAGTCTTCAATAGATCACACGCTTTTCATTTTCCACTCCTCACCCACACATGCTTACTGGCCCAGCAAGCAGATCTATGTGTACACATACACACACACACACACACACACAAACACACACACACACACACACACACACACACACACACACACACACGTATACCCATGCAGAGAGAGAACTTTACATTTACTTATTTTTACTGAAGTCTCTTGGGTATTCTAACAAATAGCCTGACCCTGGTTTCCAAGCACGCACACACACACAGACCCACACACACACACATACACACACAGACACACACACACACACACAAACTCGGGCCAACGGCTCCCCCATCGATACTGCTTTTATTGAGCTGGGTATTTTGAGGCAGCCGTGAGGAGGGCGTGACAGCGAGGCTCTGAGATTAAAACAATCCTCTCTTGATTCCTTCCTCACTAAAGGGAGAAGCGGAAGCTGTCTGTTATCGTTTGTTTCTATTATTATTCCCTGTTTACAGTCTGGGTGTTCACACTGAGGGGTAAATGAGAGGGTCAACGATTTGTCATTTCTCTTCTGAGGGAGCGGCCCTTTCTAGCTGAAGAGGAGAAGAGGGGAAAAGGCACGAAAAGGAACTATTTTCATATACACATGTTTTGTCCATTGTGTTATTTTCTAGAAGTTTATCGTCAAATATTTGGACGTCTAGACCTTGAAAATATATTTAATATCCTTTATTAGATCTCATAGCGGCACAGATAGCCACAACGAATTATGAACAATCACTGTAAATAGTAAGTTATGTTATTAATTACCTGTTAAAGAAGCAAAAGGGTGCCGACAATACAGCGATGTGGCGGCACTGAATTACACTGCGTGTGAGAGACGCATACAAAGCACGGGCCAAAGTTAGTCCCAAATGATTCCTCTCTGTCCCTCGTGTGGCTTATGTCGCAGGCAAATTCATGCAGCATCTGCAGGCGCCGCGGTGCCACTGCAACGTTGTTCCGGCTTGCAGCGTGCGATCGACTGGAACCACAGCTGCCAGACGCAGAAGGGTGTGACGGGCCGCCAGGCTGCACCGTCTGCCCTCCGAGTGGGCCGCTGTTATTCCAGCGTATACGGCCCCCAGTGCAGTTATTGTTTATAATGATGATGATGAAAAAGTCAACAATGGTGACGTGGAAGGTGATGGCAGATTTGTCGAGCGGAGGCTCAGCGGTGCTTTCTCTCTTTCCCAGGACCTCGAAGGTCACGTAACTGTAATGCCTTTACAGTTACGTGACCTACGTGTAAGACGGAAATGAGGGAATGTACAAAGAAGTGTTGACCCCATATATATATAAATAAAATCACCAAAAATCACTGAAAAATGATCATATAATTTGTACATCTCCTTAAATCAACTAATTGATTAATAGACATGCTGAGATAACAACCACGATAAGACAACGCCCTTTAAAGAGAAGCTCTATTCAGGAGCAGTTGCTTCTCCTCCTTCGTGTTTGATCAAAAGAAGAAGGAGGGCACCAATCAATTTGAGTGAAATACACAATAGAAGCATTATGCGTTAAAATACATGTCATAAAATGGATTAGAGCAATTAATCCATATGTGAATATTTATATTAGTAGCAGACATAGATATCAGGTCATTGCCCTACGGCCTTGTCTGTGGTCATTGTCGGTGCATGAACATCCACTGCATGTGCACTTGAAGACGCATGTGTGGTCTATTTATCGTATTCTAGCTTAAATGCAAAGGTGGATATTTCCTTGGAAACATTCCAGGCTCCTTCACAGTCTGGGACTGACCAGTCTAGTGTGGTGTGTGCGCGTACATGCATGTAGGCGTGAACCAGCTGGTATGTGTGAGGGTTATGAGCAGTGTGTGTGTCTGTGTCGGTATTGGTGGTGGAGGGGGCAGCGGGGGGGGGGGGGGGGGGGGGGAGGTTCCTTATCTGCAGGCCACAGGCAGCATTTGGGGCTCTTATCAGCAGCCACCATATTCTACTAGCACATCCTCTTGTCCAGCAGGGAGCGGAAAACTCTCCTTGCAACACGGCTTCCCCCCCCCGCCGAACCTCCCCCCCTCCCTCCCATCTCGCACTCTCCAGTTGCAGAGCTCTACGCTTGGCCACCAGCGAAAGCATTGTGTCTCCTTGGCGAGGAGGGTGAGAGAAGGAAGAGGTAGACAGAAGAGTAGAGAGAGAGGGGGGAGAGAGAGGGGGGGAGGGAGGTGGGTTGAAGGGGGGGTGGAGAATGTCATATGGGCAGAAGGGGAGGCAGAGAACATCACCTCTCTTTGAGTGCGTATTCCTTTTTACGGAGCAAAACATGAATAAGTGCGTTTGGACAGTCGAATCAAACTTAATCGTGAATATTTGGATATTATCTTTTCATTGATCAGTGTTTGAAGCGGCGTCAGACCGTTGGGAGGTCGGACACTGACAGGCTGAGCTAAAGAAGAAGAAGAAGAAGAAGAAGAGGAAGAAAGAGGAGGACGAGGAGGAGGGCCTTAAACACTGAGGAGATACAACGTGTGCGTCCTCGGGTCGGTTGACAGGCAGAAGAGTCACACTGGACGTCATAATGTAAGTATCCGTGTTCTTGCTGTTTGTGTGTGTTGTTTTGTGTCAGTATATGTATTCGTGTTTTTTAAACAATTCTATTATTATTTATAGTATATAATAGGGTACAGGGTATAGGGTATAGGGTACACGTGTGTAGCATATAATTACATTTTCTGTTACACAAGCCAAATAAGGTGTGTACTTACTTAATACTTAATAGTAAAAATGTTAAAATCTGGTCATTCAAATGTTGTATTTTTTCGTAAATAGAGGAAGATGGTAATGTGACATTAAAGGTCGTGTCAGATTGTTTATCTTTGGACATTCCTCTGTTGAAAGCAGAATATATATACCTTTCTGACTATTCTAGGGAGGATAAAGACATACTGTACAAATATAATCTAGCCTCATGAAATTACAAATGCTATCAAGATTATTTTAATAATTAAATTGCATGAAGGTTTCTCAAATTCTAAGATTCTATATTTAAGGATTTGATAAAAACAAATAGACAGCTCGATGTGCTGAAACAAACACAGCAACTTGGGCAAAATATCTCGGCTGTAATGTTATTAATTAAAATATGCTATAAACAAACTATGAGAGCGATGCTTTTGTTTATTGCCTACCACAGCAAAAGTAATATTCTTACTTATGTGCCGCTAATTAGGTTTTCCCTTATAATATTTTACAATGAATCTGTTGTAGAAAGGTGGTTTTCCATTAACATATTTAAATGACTACAAAATGAAATGCTACAAAATGAAACGATAAAGAACTAACTTTTGGAGCATCATTGTGAAATAGGGAACTGTCGAAAATAAAGTCATGACCACTAGAAAAAGACAAAACAGGAACACTTGCGATTGCAAAACCTGAGATCATAAGAGTGTTACGCCTGTCGCCGCGGTGACAACAAACGTCTTCCTCTGTGAAGAAATGGAGTTTAACAGTGAATTCACTCGGTAACCAGCATGAACCAGCTTCCACGCAGGAACCCACGAACAACAACTACAAATATTCCTGACATTTTAGCACAAGCTGTAGTGGCACTTATCTGCATATGATGACCTTTTTGCACATTTCCATTTATCCTGAGCGTGCTTTTCTTTTGTTCAGCAGACCCTTTGATATCAGTCCAATCTCCGGGGGTCAGGGACGTTTTAAATGCTGAAAAGGATTTGGACTCACATCCTCTAAGTCCACACAGACGGACGGACTCACTGAGCAGAGACACTAGAGACTGCACATTCGCAACCAGGAATCTCAGGATGCTCTGTGAGAAAAATCCACTTCGAATCTGCCCGCAACAACCAGCCCGACTCCGCGCTGCACCCGCAGGCGACGTCGCAGCAGAAGTCCTGCAATAAAAGCTGCAGTGACATTTCGGAAAAAGGTGCCAAGAGTTCTGCAGGACGAGCTGCAGGCGCTGCACATGAGCACCTCACTCGCACACAAACAAGAGACACATCGACTCAGTCGCTGGGCCGCGGGCACCAACAGAGCTTCCCCAACATGATGGAGAAACTGAACCCCACCGGCCCACCTGTCTCACCCTGCGACCTGCCTCACCCCTCCTCCCCGTCGTGTGACTCCGTAGAGCAGCACAGTCCCCTCCACAACAAGACTTTGTCATTTAAGGACGCCATCAGCGGCCCACGTCCCGCAAACAAAAAGGGGCACAAGGGACACATGGACGTCTCCTCTCCTGGCACGCTTAAGCCCGTACTCATGGAGACAAGGGAGGACAAGGAGGAGGGGGAGGAGGGGGAGAAGCGAGCTGGAGCAAAGAGCACCACAGCCCCTGATGCCTCTGCCAACGGGTCCCCGACTCTTTCCTCTCCGCCTCCGCTCCTCCCAGCACCAGCCAAGGCCTCCGTCGCCTCCGTCGCCTCCGTCGCCTCCTTCCCTCCGTGCTCACTATCATCTCCTCTTCCTCCGCACATTCCCGTCATCAGCCTCGGTCACAGCAAACCCCCTCTGCGCCTCCCCAATACCCCTTTGACCGCCCTCCACCCGATACCCAACCTCCGGCATGGGCCCCGCGGCGACCTTCGCGGCGGTCAGCGGCCCTATTTGCCTGTGGCCAACCTCGGAGCATCCGGGGGCTCCTCAACTCCCTCCCCAGCACACCTTCTGCACCAGCAGTACCTGTCACCGCACCCCTTCTTCACCAGGTGAGATTTAGGGATTCATCCGTGAGCAACCACTTCGCTTTACAACTTCTTCAGACCTTCGGAAGTGAAAGCATGCCTTGGCAAGACAACACTGATATTTACATGTTGTGATCAGATGTGTACAAAATCATCTTGTCCAATTACACACTTCTGGAGGTTGCATTTGACGCTGTAAGGACTATAGTGTAAATTACAAAGCATCAAACAGTATATTAAGACACACAGATGCCACATGCTCCTCCACATCCTTTTACCAGGCAATGCAAACAGGTGTGATACAGAAATCTGCTTTCCTGAGAAACTAGGGATGATGATATCGCCTCATGGGTAACAATTTCCCGTTTCATATGAAACCTCAACTGCTTGGATTTCACGACTTCCCATGGCGATTAATTGTGGCTTAGCTGCGCAGTTATGCAAAAACTGACAGCAGGATGTGTGCTGTTCTGATGGGACCTGACATTTCTCACACTAAACTTACTCATCTGGACAATCAGTAGCTGAAGGCACGTAAAATGTTAGGTTTCTATCCTTTACATCCAAGCCTCTGCCTTCTGCCTCTGGAATGAGATTCCCACCTCTATTCTCTCTCTGGTCACTTTGCAGCAGGAAGCAGTGATCGATTTCATCCCCCTGAAGTAGAATCAGCCAATAAGCAGACTTAATGAGACAAGGCTAAAACTCTGCATGCACACTCTATCAACCCCACCCACAGTTAATGGCCTCCACCATCTTCTTCTCCATCCACTCCCTAAGAAAAGGACAAGATGCTGTAGATAGTTAACATTTGAATCTGTAGATATCTATCTATATATATATATATAAACAAACAAACAATCTATAGATATATAAATATAGATATATAAATATATATAGATATATAAATCAAGCTGCGTTATAATTAAGCTATAAAAATGCCACATTTGCCTTGTTTTTCTCTGTAGTTCTTACCTGAATCCCTCAGGAGGAAACTATGGCGTCATCAGCAGCAGCCGCATCAAGAGAAGACCCTCGTCCCACTTTGAGGTGGATATCACCGACTGTGAGTTTCTGTGTGACCAAATACAGAATAAGGCATAAATATCAATTTGTGAACGTTTGAAATGATATTGAAGCAATGATGCACGTCGTGGAGACGCTTCATATCTAATGTATTTAAAACATAAGGCTGCAGATGTTGTGTGTTTGCCTTATTGCCAAGAAGCCTCCTGAAAGAACTGACAACAAAGTGTCAGCACATCTCAATACTTTCCTACTTCCTTAATCTGCATTGCACTCACTGAAGACCGGCCATTGTACAGTTACCTCAAACGCTTTTTAGAAAGTGAAAAGTGCGTTTGTTTGGTTGAAACTGTGGATTAATACACATCTTGTGCTCAAGTGAGTACTCAAGTCCTAGTGAGTCCTAGACTACTGGAGCTCTAGTGAGTACTACAGCACCAAAGTGAGTACTAGAGATGCACATAATGAACTAAGATGTAGAACAGCTTGGCTCCTTGGTATGTTTTCAGTATGAGATATCACGCTTTGGCCACACGGGACAATAACAACGTTTATATTAACTTGCTTTACGGCCCTGCACACTTAGACTGTGATTATGTGCGTCTCACAGGCCCTCCCCAGAAAATCGCTCGCCGCGTCTTCACCAACAGCCGCGAGCGCTGGCGACAGCAAAACGTGAACGGGGCTTTCTCTGAGCTGAGGAAGCTCATTCCCACGCATCCACCCGAGAAGAAGCTCAGCAAGAACGAGATCCTCCGCCTGGCTGTCAAGTACATCAACTTCCTGGTGACGCTGCTCAATGACCAGACACAGGCCCGGAGCAGGGACCCCGAGGAGGACCAGGTCACCGCGGCTGGGTTGGACGGCAACAAACAGAACCGTGGTTTTCAGTGCAGCGCCCCTCCTCCGGCCCGCGCCGCCCCCCTGCCCTCGGCCCGTCCCTCGGCCCGTCCCTCGGCCCGTCCCTCGGCCCGTCCCTCGGCCCGTCCCGCGGCGGTGCACAGAGACAGGGACTCGACCGACTCGGTCATTGCTCTGTCCAACTCCTCGGAGACATCCAGTTGCTACGGCGATACGGACAGCGAGGAGAGCTTCGTGGCTAAAACCTCCTTGGTGACGCATGGCATCCTGGGAAAGGTCAAGGGGCGGATACGGATGGTGGCAACCACAAATGATGAGCGGTGACACCATCGTGATGTCTTGTTCAAATGTATCTGTGCTGTGCAGCAAGTTGAGGGACACAAAGGATCACATTTTTATTTCATGTTCGAATAAGGTCACAATGTTCATTCGTCGAACTTTACGATGTGGATGAGTAGTGATGAATTATGTTAAACAGGAACAGAAGAAATAGAGGTTCTTCGATTTTTCTCTGTAGACCAAAGGAAAATATTTATACGCACGATTGTTAAAACCATTTTGCCATTATGGTCCAAATGCAGCCTCATACCTGTAAATAATCTGCATTGCTCCAGTACGATTACGGGAACTACCAAGAAATACTCAGCAAAGTTTCCCGCTTTTAACGCCGTTGTTGGAGCGGCGAGGCAGATGGTACCACCCTCACGTTGTGACACACTTGTACCAGACAGAAATAAAGAAGCCTTTTAGTTTGCTGTTCCTTATTTGACATCCGCTTATTGCGCTGCACAGACTTCTCGTTGTCAGCAGAATTTCTCAACATCGTCCAAATGTTTAGGGAACGTATGTTTATCATCAAAGTGTCTAAGTCCTTTTTGTGAGATGATCTCTATAACCATCAGGCGTCAGACGTATGAATACAATGCTTGTTTTACCCAACTTGTGTCACGTGTCTACATTTGAATAAATTGACACATTGTCTACATGTCACGCACTGAATATTCAAAGACAATAGAGTTCAATTCTGTGTTTAAAAACTAATGAGTGAAGTGTTTTCCTTTAGGTGAATAGAACGGTTTGTTGACACTAATCTGACATGGCAAAAAAATATTATTTAACTGTTTCGGAGCCTTGCAGGGCAGCTGGTTTAGGGTGTACTGTACATGTTTTAAACGGTGGAAGAAGCAATATTAATAATACATATTATTAAGAGTAGCACTATCACATTGTTGAGTCCTGCATTCAAAACATTAGTGAAGTAAAGGGGTCACTGTCAGGTACAGACAAGTACTATAGGTAAAAGTGCTCATTGTGCAAAACCCTCCATTTCACAAAATACTGTAGAGTATTGCAATATTACAAAATGGATTGCATCTGATGTGATGCTGATCTGATTATGTGACGAATTATCAGTTATATAAATATACAACTGCCTTCCACAGATTAGTTTCTCAAGAATCATGAATAAACCAGAAACACAATAAATAACACAAATGACACATGACACAGTAAAACATGTAGGTGAAGCAGATAATATCAACTCCACATCGGCAAAAGTCATGAACACACACACAGCAAAGGAGAGCATAGTTTTACACACGTAATCAACGTCACGTTGCTAGGCAACGGAGTGCTTGTCGAAGCGGGGAGTCCAGTCAGCGTGTTGTTGTTGTCCACAAGTCGACTCCTGGTGAAGCTTCCCTGCTCGTGCACTCAAAGCACAACGTAACCTGTCCGCACACTTGACCACCCAAATAGGAACTTAATTATTTATTAATGGTCTGAAGAGCTTTCATTGGGAGGCTCCATAAAACAAGGATAAATGAATGTGCAATATATGACAATAGTTCTGAAAATAACCATCAATAGTCATTGGAAAAGAAAACAAAGAGGTTGCATATAGCACAGAGTGTGTGTGTGTTTTTCCTCTAATAGTTATAGTCAGTAGTTTTAGTAAATAATGCTTGATTTTAACAATACATTCTTCTTAGCTGAGGAATATTTTGTATTACTATTTGTTGAAAAAACAGTAAATTGAAATATAAAACAATATTTGCCTCTGAAATGTTGGTAATGGAGTAGAAGCTGCGTCTAAAGTAGAAAATCTAAATAGTAAATAAAACCCCTCTTAATTGTACTGGTGTGAACTTGAGTGCACTGGTCTACTCCACCACTACAATTGTTTTTTGCCGCGTTTGTGCAACATGGGTGTGGCAAAAAGATTTATGTAACAGTAACCATGGCAAGTGTGAGGTTGTCTGAGGAAGGCCGGGTGGGGGTGGGGTGTGGTCAGAGATAGGGGGCTCAGCTTGGTGGTGGTGGGGGATGCGGTGTTGGTGGTGTAGGACTTGCATAAGTGAGAAAGTGAGGGGATGGTTGCAGCTGTGCAGTAAAGCTTGTGTCTCTATCGAGAGGCCAGGAAATGCCTACAGTTAGTGCTGTCTCATTGACGGCCAACGAGTTTCCTGGTGGAGTGGTGTGTTGGTTTGTGTGTGTGCGTGTGTGTTTGTGTGGTGCCAACCATTGCAAAAGAGAAAGGAAGAAAAAAAGAATGAAGCCACCAGAATGCTCTGGGAGCCTCTGCACCACCGGTCTTGGGACCACACGACAGGAAGAGCAGCTTTCACAACGCTGCCATACGGCTGCCTCTCCTGTGCTAGGGTGCACTCCCCCCCGTCCCCCGTTTCGTTATTAAACCACAGAGGACCGAGGCAGAGGTCAAACAAGGGATACTGCACAATTCAGGTATTTTAAAACAGCCTTTTACCAATATATAAAAACAAAAGCATTGTTTAGAAATAAACAGACACCGATGCTGCGTGAGCCTTCTTTCCCCCTTTTGATGCAGGAGGCCGAGGAGGGTGACGGCGGTCAGCCTGGGACGTAGAGATAACGTTGTAGCCTCCAGTGAGCCAATTTTTCAGTCACTGGCAGAAATATCAGCAGCTCGACTCGAATCAGTCTCGCGCACACTAAAAACTGCTGGTCCCATGTGAAGAGCTCGAGTGTTCCAAAAGGGAGGTGCAGTTATTTAAAAGTAGAGGTTTAGTTAATGCAAGAAAAACGCAATGACATTTATTTATTTTTTTAAGTTAAATTGTATTATATTTGCATCACTTAAGACAAAGACACATAATCATTGTATGTTTTGTAAAATATAAGTAAAAGAAGCACAGTATTGGAGGAGCTGCTGAATGTATATGTCCAATACAGATGTTTAAATGACAGATCAAGTTTGAAAAGAATTGCATTACAGCATGGATTTTACAACATCTAATATACGAGACAAATGTTATTCGTTAACAAATGAGCCAAGTTTAGCAAGTTAATTTAGTGAAATCAAAATATGGCTAGAACAAATTCTCGTGTTAGTAAAAAATAATTCTCATTAATTTTCTGTTGAAATGAAACTTAACAAAATAATTGAATAGAAACAAGGAAACACATTTTGTCAACATTTGTTAAACACTTTAAATACATGACGTATTCAGCTGTTCATTCAGTCTTCAATACTTTTTCTCCTTTTTTTAACAGAGAGTCTATGCTGTCGTTCGCCGTTCTCTCCACATTTCTTGCCGCTTCATCCGTCTTTTCTAACGTGCTTCCCTTTCTGAATTTCCGTCTGCCCACTTCGGTTACCACAGACCCAGCAGCTGCCCCGACAGCTCCGCCGATCACCCCTGCCAGCACCACGCCGAGCACCAGACCCAGCAGTGCGCCCCCTATAACTACCATTGGCACCTGTTTAGCAGTAGTCACGATTTTCTCCCACGCCGGGCTCTCCGCCACCCTTTTGGCCCCTGCTCTGGCTCCGGAGCCCACTTTCCCCCACACTGGACTCTCTGCCACCTTCTTTGCACCGGCACTGATCCCGGCTCCAACTCGCACGGAGCTTTCAGCCATCAGCTTAGCTCCACTTTTGGCCTGGGAGCCCACTTTTCCCCACACGGGACTCTGCGCCAAATTCTTCGCCCCGGCTCCGATGCCGGCGCCGACGCGCATGGACCTGTCCGCCACTACTGTGGCACCCGAGCCGACTTTGCCCCACATCGGACTAGCGGCTACTGACTTTGCTCCAGATCCCACCCAAGCTGAGCCGTCCACCACTACCTTGGGAACTCTACCTCCTACTAGTTTGGACACATGTCCGGCACCAGCTCCCACTTTCCCCCAAACAGGACTATCGAGCAGCTTCTGGTGGACGTTTTGTGCTCCGCTGCCCACTTTCCCCCACACACCACTACCCTTCACCTTCTTTGCTCCCTCGCCGGCCCACTCGGAGCTATCCGCCAACAGTTTGGGAAGCATCTTTGCGGTTGTCTGCATTTTCTCCATAACGGAGCTCAGAAGTGAAGGGGACATGGTGGAACGCGTAATGGGAGGGAGGCTCTCGATATGCATCGTCCTCATGCTCATCTCCGCCTCATCCCTTGTTTGCTCAATATCCTCCTCTCTCACTTCCTCTTCTGCCTCAGCCACTGGCTGCATGAAGGGATATTGCCCTCGCCTCTCGGAGCCGATCGGCCGGTCTTGCTCTGGTCTCTCGCCCAGTCTCTCCCTTGCTATCTCTAGCTGTCTCTGCCTCAGTATATTCTCCGCCTCATGAAAAGCAGGGTGGGAGTAGCACCCTCCTCCAGCTTCCTTCACCATCTGCTCAACTTTCTCCAGCAGCTCTTCCACGTTCCTTCGCTTCCCCCCGTCCCCTCCTTGCTCCATTACGTGGAACCTGTCTCGGCATTTCTCCACGATCTTTAACAAATCCCCCCGCTGACTAGCGATGTACGCCTCCACGCCGTCTTTCCCCACCTTCTCGCTCTCCCTCAGTTTATCTGCATAAGTGAAGAGCGGGAGAGTGTGCCTCTGCACCGCGTCGGGGCCGAAGACGGTCTCGAGGGCCTTGAGGGAGCCCAGCTCGGTCTTTGCAGGCTGATCCAAGGGGACGCACAGGAGGAAGGCGTGTGGACCAGGACTGGACAACGCCACACAGGACGAGATCTGAGCTCGCACCTCTTCTGGAGTTTGCTCTGAATTGAACCAGTCTGGCGTATCCACCACCGCCACCTGCAGGAGGGAGAGAGGACAGTTCATCTCTGGAAACTAGACTGTTTTATGGCACAAAACATGCAGCGTGTCAAAGATGCTGGCAGTTGCATGTGGAATGAAAGGAAAATGAAGACAGAGCACCTTCATCACGTACCTGTCTTCCGTTGACCAGCGCTTTCTTTTTCTCACAGGCCTGAGTGATGGCTGTGAGGCTGTCGGGGCAGGACTCAAACTCCTTCCGCCCCAGTATGTTGTTGCCAGCTGCACTTTTCCCAGCTCCCGATCGCCCGAGCAGCACCAGACGCAGCTCCGTGGGGGATAAAGGCGAGGTTGATGCGAGGAATGGCAAAGGAGGGACGGGTGAGGGGAGCGAGACCGGAGAGGTGGTGGAGGTCGGCGAGGAGGAAAAGGCGAGCGAATGAGGAGAGGAGATAGGAGACGCCTCGGGAGATCGCTCTTCAACACTGTTTATTCTCTGGTGAACTGAAAACAATCAATTAGTTTAATGTGCAAAAATTCTTTGGGTGCACTTTTGCGTGACATAATTCTGCGACTTACAAGTTGTGACCAGTTTTGGGGTCGACTTAACCTCAGACATTTGAGAGAGTATAGCGCCATCTGCAGATGAAAAACAGTAAATATAACTCCAGTTTTGTGCTCACGTTCATTTTTTTTATCTTGATTTAGAACAACACTGGGTGCAAAGATGGTATTGACCTGTGTTTAGTCTGAAACTGGGCGTACTGATGGCCCGCCTGTCATTGTGCGGCTCTAAAGGTGACTGTTGTTGTGGCGCTGGAGCTGAGTGGAGCCCGTTAGATCTTTGACTCACGGCCACACTGTCGGTGGTGTCCTCCAGACTCCTCAGTGTTTCTGGCTTTGGGAAATGCGCTGAAGCAGCAGCTTCTTTTCTCTCCTCCTTTTGAGCTCTGTAACTTTCCAGAAGTTCTCGCTTTCTGTCTTTAACCCGTTGTTCCAGCTCTCTCTCATGGACTGTTTTCATATAGAAAACACCATTTTTCGACACCATATCATCCACCTGATAATTTAAATTAAAAAAAACAATGCATTAAAAGGCATGTCCCCCATCCTCACATTTATCCTCACACATATGGCCATGTTTTATAATTACTAACTAATCTCAAATGAATGAAAATGAAATGAAGAACACTCTTCCGTCTGTTAAATTTACAATGTATTCATCCTAATTATTGAAACTAGTCCAAAATACGGCTCTGTCTGACTGTTGGGTGTGAAATAGGGCGTTGCCGGGAAAACATGAGCGCTCACGCAAAAACAAAACCGAGCTCTGCTATGTGTAGTGCGTTATAAAAGTAGAACGCTTTTCACCGTCTCACCTTTCCGAGCAGCTCGCAGACCTGCTTGTTCTGTCTCTGGCGATTATTGAAGACATGGTACCTCCCACCGCAGCGCTCAACCACCTGCCTCAGGCCCTGGTGTTCTTTTTGCAGGTATTCCTGAGCAAAACATGTTGGATAGCGACGTGTTACCTCCCGCTCCTGTTAATATGAAACCGTCTCTATCGTGCATATTGGACCCGATGACCGGTTGGAAACGAGCGCATAAGATGTCTGATAGAAAGTACACACCAAATGACATCAGACAAACTGCGCTTATTCCTGTCCGTCCGTGTACAATATTTTAACTCTTAAACCCAAAAAGCAAAGCTGAAGAGTGGAGTAAACATAAAAAAACATTTACAGTAAAAAAGTGCTTAACAAACTGGTTAAGATAGTCGGCTCCATCATCGGTAAAACTGGGAAAGGTGGTGGAGAGAAGACTTATTCTCCACATTGGAGAACCCGGATAATCCCTCCACCGCCCACTGCAGCAAGACTTTATATCATATCAATTCTGGCCAAATCACAACGATGAACACAGTTAAACGGTTTGTTTGGTTAGATATTTGCACCATTTATTTGTTAGTTAATTAAATGTAACGCTTTTATATTTTCGCTTATATATTGTGCATTTTAATATTTCACCTTGCAGGGTAAATAAAGTGATTATCTATCCGTATATCTACCTTAAAATGCATATTTCAGCACACTATAGAAAGAGTATACAAGTAATACCTCCACGGTTTTTCCCATCAAGTAGTCCCCACAGGTCAACAGGACTATCGTGTGGGACAGGGCATCCTCCCCAAACACGTCCTCCAGCTCTGCCGGAACAAGACTGTCCATCTGAGAAAGACAAAGACCACTAATGTTAGGACCACCAATCGTTCATTGTCCTTTAGTCTTTCATATTAGGAGACAGTTATCAAACACTGGTCTTTTAAAACAACCTAAATGATACCGTGAAGGAAATGACAAGTGGAAAGGCAAACGGAGTCCACCTCTGTGAATTGGTTAACAGGCACCAGCAGAAGAATGGCGTGTGGGCCGGGTGCAACCAGCGTCATCACTCGCTGCGTCTCCTTCCTCACGCCCTCCTCCATCTTGCCGCCGCTCCAGTACCATCTCGGCGCCTCCACCACCGTCACGCTCCTGCCCTCGGTAATGCCCGTTCGCAGCTGGCAGCTCCTGGAGGCATCGTGGGAGGCCGGGGACAGCTGGCCCAGGATGTTGTCGGCCGAGGACGTCTTCCCACACCCGATGTTCCCCAGGAGGACAAGTCTCAGCTCCGGGGACGAGGACCCGTAGTTCCTCCCTGTGAAGAGTTCACTCATAGCTGGAAAGAGAGGAACAAGGGGGGGAGAAGGGAGGGGTGACATGTTGCACTACCAAAGAATGAAAGGTTGCATTAGGGGCAAATGTTTGACTTGTAAAAGATGGAAACACATGCAAATATAACTGCAAAAATAGAATTTGCCGGCAGGAAGGAGAAATATCTGGGTTCCTGAATGAAGTTCTCATTTTATTTAAGCCCTTGCTGCTTCACCAACTGCATCTCTTTTCAGCTTCACCACACCTTGAAAGTCCTGTCCAACGACATTCTACCAGGAAATGTATAAAACCAGTCCAAGGTTTGGACAAAAAACGTGTTTGAGAAAGCAAACTTTTGACAGGTACTGTGTGGATGGACTATGCACTAAACATATCCGCCTACAAATACACACAAACGTATAAAAAGAAGTAATGGACATGCAACATTGTAAAATCACATGAAACGCAAACTTAATCTACATTTTGCTGTGTTAGATAAACTCCCACATTAGTACAACCTGGTTCAGTAAACAGCTGCATCGTTCAAACAATAAAGAAGCATACTTACCGATAGTGTTGGGATCAGGAGACGTCTTCTTGCGTGCGGTTTATTCAGTTTTTCGCCGAATGATTTCGCTTCTCCAGACAACTCAACCTGAACCGTACATGTCGACGACTAACAGCTGCCTACGCAGGTGAAACTTGCCGTCTAAGGGAGGAACCCGTCTCACCACTCCAAAATGTGGACGCGAGCCCACAGGAACGCACTCAGAAGTACATGGGTTTTTTTTCTCCGTGTGCAACAGGTTTCTTTTGTCCGCGGGCTGCCGAGCATTCCAAGAGGAGGCGGAGGAGATCCATCCAAGCCAGCATGAATCATTCTGCCTCACTCTTTATCCACCACACCCCACGAGCTGTCGAATGAACATGAACTTCACCGCTTGAGCCGTTCGGTTAATGACAGGTTCCTTCAGGGCGAGTTGGCGATGTAAAGTCGGAATAAATCAGGGAGGAACTCGACTTTGCTGCATCCTACGCACGGGATGGAGACGGTTCCACCAACACGGAGTGTTTGGTAACCTGGAAGCCCATTGAAATATTGAGTTGAGGTCACCATGACCGATGAACGCCAACATCTTAAATCAGTTCAACCTCGAGTGCAATAAAAAGTCTGGTCTGGAATTTCAGGTGTGGAAATATTACAGCAATTAAAGAGGGGTAATATTATTCATAGTATACTGGTTATAAAATATGGTCAATTCATGAGTCCATTGGCCTCATTGGAGGTTGGAACAAACTTATCCCATAAATTGTGACCAACATTTGACATCAGATATAAAATATGGTTCCAATAGAATAGTATGGTAGTTTCTTCTAGTTCAGTTTGGAAATACCGAAGATACTTTAGACTGCGCTAAAATGTGGACGTCCCTGTCCTCCCTGTTTGTTATGAGGGTGGAGTGAGTTGGTGCAAGTGTCCGCAGAACGTTTACAGTTCGGTGAAGTTGGCAAGATATTCACAGATTCGGGCTACCTGGTTTAATAGCTGGTCAGCGAGAGGTTGTTAAACTCTGTGTGACCGTAGACCTTCACCAACAAAGTCATAAATTCGACTTTTAATCTCATAATTTTGACTTTCTAACCCTTTTCTTTGTGGCGGAAATGGGCTTCCATACAAAATAAATCAAATTTAAAAGGGAGATAAAATACGTTCCGGGTGCTATTCATTCCGTAGATATCGTGATTTAGTGATTTATTGGACCAGTGTTGCCAATTTCTCAATGAGGAAAGACGCTGCAGAATCAGAGGCATTGTGCATGCGCGCGTTGATTTCAGTCTGGACGCGACGTGCGTCTCCTCTGTGCTCCGACTGCAGCTGGACTGCTGCGAGCCGCCAGGTTTCTGCTTCAGTCACGTCAAACACCACAAAAGTCTCCAATAAAACCAGATAAGGTCGCTGGTCGCTTTTGACAAGAAGTCGTCAAGAGGTTTTGGAATGTCAATGTACCAAACAACGAAGGATCCTGCGCATGCGCATATCTTAAGTCATAATATTGACTTTCTAACCCTTCTTTTATGGTGGAAATGGGCTTCCGTAAGAGTGCGTGTGAAAAGCAGGGCCTCATAGTTCAGGGATTGCTGCAGGGCGCCATCTCCTGGAAGGTCAGTCGCTTCAGTTCTGTGCTTCGGTGTCGCCACAGTGGACAGAAATAAAGCAGCGCCGTGTCCTTTTTGGTCGATATGTAACAGCTTAAACATCTAAAATGAGTCAGTCATTTGATTTCAGTTAGTTTTAACTTAACAATAATTTCCTTACACTACTTACTTTATTCTTGTTTATTATGATTGCACAGATATGAACTTGAGGTCATATTTATTTTAGTAGCCTATATCAGGGCCTAAAGATACAGTTGCATCACTTGAAACTAACTTATTGATTGGTAGTTTCTGTAAGTTTTACATTCTAGTGTAACATTTCTCCACTGTAAGGAGAAAGAAAATCTTCATTTTGAAGATGTACTCCGTCAGTAATAAGCAGCATAATTCAATCTTTACACACCCACTTTAATTAAACAACAAATATCTTCTGTATCATTTCTATAGTGAAAACAAATATTCTTGTACAATAAAACAGATTAAAGACGCATCTTCCAAACTAACTCATAACGTCCACCATAATGTGCAGTGAGGAGGCCACTGGGTCATCAACACTCACAACCCGGGCATCAGGTAGGAAATGTTTTCCATAGTGGAGCGCTTTAAAAAAATAAAATAAAATTGTATTAAATCTGTGAAGGGGAGAGAGTGTGATGTGTGTTCTGCACTCTCTCACCAGCGTGTGGCGAGTGCAGCTCCTCAGCTCTGGTACCTGCTCGGTGAGGCCGATGAGAGGAGCCACGGCACACAGCAGGGAGTCCAGCAGCAGAGACGCGCTGCTCGACGCGCTCACCGCTTTCTGCAGAAAGAGGCCGAGAGATGGTGATTAATCATGTTAAGGTGTGAAAGGAACAAATGTTGCAGTGATGGTGAGGAACCGCAAATAGAACATCCTCTTTAGCTTAATCTCAATCCTGATTTATCTGTATGACAGGTAATAATGTAGGTTAGATGACTCGTAAATCACTGAGGCAAAATGCAGGCATTGTAGAGATTAATTAGTTTAAAACAACACCAGTCAGGAATGATTCATACAGAAAATGATGTTCAAATAGAATTACGTCTTCAGGGTGGTCTTCCGCCCACAACGCGTCAGTTTGCAGTTTACTGTCATTCAAGGCAATCATAAACTTCCTTAATCTGTCAACTGCTGCAACGAGGGCAAACACAAGTGCGGTAATAGTTTTCGCTTCCCTGGGGATAATCATGCAAAAGGGTTACATAACTGAAAAAGGTTTAGGAACACACATTTGTCTCCTGAAGATGGTGTCCAATCAGGGACAAGGATTCTCCCAAGAGGTGGAGGTGAGCTGCAGCACAGACGGGATCCCCGTCACAGCAGCCAGGACTGAGAGCGTCCCGGTCTGAACAGGTGGCTCGGCACAGAGAGCTGATGGGGGCGCAGGTGTCGGCGCTCGTCCCCCCAGAGCTCGCTGCACAAGCATCTGCTGTCAGTGAACCAGGAACGGGTATGAATGGGCAAGGCCTGCGGGGCACTGGGGTGCTGGGGGGGGTGATGAAGGTCTCGCCTCCAGCACAGTCGGCCAGGTCGTGCTGGTCATCAGAGTACACCCAGTACTCAGTTATGGGTCTCAGACTCACCTGGGAGGAAGAAAAAAAAAAAAAAAAAAAGTATAAAAACAAGACATAAAATGAGCGACGTTAAGGATTAAGGACGTTAACTACCCGCTCAATGTGGAGCTCTGCTGTGCAACAGGAAAGCAGCAACTTGTCTTGAATATCCTGGAAGGGACCGTTTAATTATGAGTATCACAAGGATGAAATTACAGACAAATTTAACTTAACAGGGTTAAATAGATCAAATCTCATCTGTTCTCTCACCTCATCTCCTCTTCTTTCTTCCCATTGGCCTTGTGGCAAACAGATTGGATAAGCAGGGGGGAGGCCAGAGGATTCCATATTATCTGCATTATAGGTCACATATTCATACACAACAACAACATATCTTCATCATATGGAGTTCCCTTCCTGCATTTTTGCATCGTGTTTATAACATCGGTCATGTTTTTTTCAGCGAAGACTGTATTGGAGCCATGACGAATTTGTGAGTTCATAAACAAAAACACTTTCAGGTACATCTACACAGTGGAGGCATGGTACCTGGGAAGCACCTTACCAGAGGTGTTCATATCCCTGTGGCTGAGCAGGCCTTCCGCTCCCTGCAACAACGGTGAATATTAAGCAATCACACGCATGGAATTCAGATCGCATCATCCAAAAAGAACAAAAGCGCCACGGCCAAGTATGGTCCCGCTTCAAACAGACCTCTGATGATGCAACATAACATATTGATGCCAAAGTATTAATAATCAGAAGGGGATTTCAAAATACAGCACGTGTGTTACTTGTCATATCTCCAAACTGTTACTCTGCTGCAGGTGAAACATCATTTAAAAACCTGAATTTCCCTAAACTATCACCAACTACCAGTGCAGGCCGATGTGCGATCTCTGGGTGCTACATTCCTCAAAATCCAGATGCGGCTCCTCCACATCCATCTTTGAAGTTGTTCCTCTGGCTCTTTGGCGGTCTCCACTCGGTGGGCCTGCTTCTCTGCACACAGGATGAGACGGAGCGATATTAAAGTATGAGTCCCATTTATGATGCAAAGTAAGGATCAAGTTTATCGGACAGAATTAACTCAGTATAGATTGTGATTATTTAATCTGTCCACTTGACCATGAACAGGGTTCTTGCACCATTTCAAAAGTAAAATGTAATGCTTTTAAGACCTGTTTAAGACCTCAACAAATATAATTTAAGACCCAAAAATGTCACAATTTCTTTGGAATACGCAATTTATTGCCTCCTACAATGGAAATCAAAACGTTTTTTCAAATTAGGAGACAGTATAATAACTGACAATAACCCTTCCAACACTGTTTGGCCAATATAGATGTAAACAATCAAAGCAATTCCTTTGTGATGCAGAACAGAGCCAACATAACATACATAAATTTGGATTACACTAAACAACACAATGCATTGCGAATCGGGGAACATGGCAGCAAAGACGCCACGTATGTCATCATTAGATTTAAATGAATTGTGCCTCGTCACAGTATGGAGAACCCACAGTACCTCTGCCTTTTGGGTGTCTGGTGTTGAAATGAAACTTGTTACAGCCGACTGAGAGGTGGCGTGTGAACTTGTAACGTCGTTAGGTCGTGCTGCAAACAATGCAGGGATTAACCTGGCCCCGCTATGGCTAGCTGCTGCAACGTATCGCTGGTGCTTTCCTCCTTTCATGTGCGACTCGACGGCTTTGAGCCCCATGGTCCCTAATGAAAAGGTATTTTTGCATAGTTTACACATTGCCTCATTGTTGTTTTCAACCGGCGCCAACCACCTCCTAAATGCATCATCTTCCATCCACTTGTCGTTAAATTTGCACTTCCCCATCTTCTTTGCATTTTCAACCTCACATCGACAACCGCGTAATGGCGACACGCAGCCTGACGTCAGCGTCTGTAGCCGACGTACCGTAAACAGCTATTAAATTGCGGAGACTCATTTCGCACAATACTAAATTAATCAACTATTAGATGTTTTACGATGCGCCACTGTGCTTTCTTGTCGCCATTAAGCGCACCGGCAAAAAAAAGTAATACAGCAACTTAACATGAAAGACCTTAATTACCCGAATTTTCATTTAAGAATTAAGGACCCGCGGGAACCCTGATGAAGGAAGATCAGCAGTTACAGCACACTATGTTCTGCTAGATGTTAGAGCGTGCTAGAACGAACTAGTGTACAAGAGGAGGAGTCATTGACCTGAACTTGAACACACGACCAGGGAAATACTTACTAAGCTAAATGGACGGAGTTAGCTTAGTTATTCTACCATCTGAAGGGTTTGGTACCGTATGCAAAAACAAGCAATAACGACGGTTAACAAGGTAACGCGATGTCGGCAATTTAATTGGATCCGAGCCAGCTGGTTGAGTTAGTTAGTTTTACCTGGTTAACATTACAACTAAAAAGTGTCGGTTGCAATTTGAAATGACAAGTAACGTGTCGTAGTGAAGTGTCACTTTATTACAAATGACAGAGTCCGTCGTTGACGTTTCCAGGACATTGAACACTAACGTTGATTTAGGAAACCGGTCGCGCGGGGCACTTCTGGTGTGGACTAAAGAACCAGCAAGCACGTGGCTGACAACCGCACGCAGGCACCACGCGGTCCTCCGCCTCGGTGAGGTCGCACGTCTCAAGCACAAGCGGCCGGCGGGTGAAGTGCCGACTCACGGTTAGCGTCGGCCCGTCTCCCCGCTGACTCACAGTTAGCGTCGGCCCGTCTCCCCGCTGACTCACGCTAAGGTCCGGAGTGAGGGAGCTTATCTGGTCGAATGGATGACTTATTAGTAGATCACGCTGCAGCTGGCTGAACAGAGGGCATCAGTCTGCAGTTATTTAGCCAATCCTCTCGACAATTGTGTTTTTTTCTTTTGTATACGTTTCTTCTCACTAATTCCCCTTTTGCTCCTTTATAGAAATGTTCTATAGGAATTTCTACACATTTGCATCAATTCACTTCAAATGAAATGTTTCATGCCAGCCTTTACTCAATGGTCGTAACAGCTGTGATATTTAAAACATGTTTTGATATACATATGGTTAAAACCATGCAGGCAGCATGTTTTGCGGCATATTTCACATCTGATCTCACTATCGCTTCCTTATTCCCACGTGACCGTCGCTGAACTTATCAGTGATCCGGTTAAGTGGTTAAACTTGTTCATGTTTCAGATGAACTGAAAAACTGTTGGTGTCTCTAGAGAATCATGTGATTGTTGTTGTTTTTCACTGGAACATTAGTCCTAGTTTCAACACTTCCTGTCTCCGGTTTTAGAAACTCACACGGTCATATTTAGAGTCTCCTCCTCCTCCTCGCGCCTGATCCCGCTTTGTCATGCTTAGCCCCCGGGCCTCCTCCTCCTCCTCTCCTTCCATAGAAAGACCTCCCTGCGCATGTCCCTCCCTCTGAACTTTTCCAAGTTGTCCTCCAAGTTTGCTGCATCACGTTAACTCACAGTCCCTCCCACTGTTGTTGCTGAAGTTGCTGTATCACGTTAAGCTGTGGTTTTGCAGAGTTCCTGTTTTCATTCAGCTACTGGTGGGAGGAGACTGGGGGAAAAGTATAAAAGGGGGGAGAGCCGCCTGCTGCATTGTACTGCGATCCAGCGAGGAGTCAGTGAATCACTGCCTTCACAGAGAGAACTAACAGAGCCTTACTGGTGAGTGAAACACGGCGCTGCTCTCATTCTAACTCCCGTAACCTGTTGATCTTGAATGTGCATGCTGGTGATCACGTATGCAAGATGTGAAAGCATCTCAATATTTCATTTTCTTTCCCAGGTTCACAATGGAGACAGAGAAGGAGAATACGACACAAACAGCAGAGGAGATGACAGACAGGTGAGTGAGCTGCTGTGATTTAAAGAAATGCTAAAACGGGCCGTGATTATCTTTGAAGTGCTCATAGATTATTGTATTGAATCAGTGGTTACATGGATTCGAATAACTGGCTTAGTCGGACTGAAATTGAATAATCCGTTTCATGTAAACACCTTTGTCCGACTATGTGCGGTCCGACTACGATCCGATTAACACCCCTGGATAACTCGATCCGATCCAGTTGATAGTTCGACTATTGCGGCATGTAACCGTGAATTGGATAAGGAACTGGACTTTGCGTCTTTGCACATGCTTGAGATCCCGATGGCATCTTCCCTCCGTCATCAAATCAGCCAATAGCGCCATTCGCATTCGCTGTACACTTATTAACATCATGCAAAGATAGTAGAGGGATGTAAATTCACCTTGCTCTCCGTTCGCCATCTTTCTCGTAATGTTGTTGTTGTTGGTAGTGGTGAAGCGGTCAAGCGCAAATGGCTGTATTACAACTAGTTGTAATGAAAACACTGCCACCTATCGTATCGGATATGACATGCTTTCGGCCAATGATTCGATTTATTCACTGCCATGTATATTGGGATAATAGCACCTCCGCCCGAAAGATAGCATAGTCCGATTAAGCACAAATTCGAATTATACCATCATGTAAACACACTGACAGATAAAGTTGTATCAGCACTAGCAGTAACCAGGTTTATCAGCGGTACATGAAGCATGTGTAGACGCAATGTTCATCCTCTGTGCTTTTGGAGTGACATTTTTTTTTTTTTTTTTAAGGGATTTGTCCGAACAAATCAAAAGGGTGACAAAGGAGAGTCACATCCGGGCAGAAAACACAGAGCTGATGCTGAGCTTCCAGAAGGGACAAGTCACCCTGCCGCAGTTCAAGGTAACACAACATTTGAATCCCTTTTCTTTTGTTGTTCTGTTGTTCATAGGTTTTTGTATCAGCTACTGGGATGGCCTTGTCCTGACCCTACCCTTCCTCCTCCTCCTCTTCTTCAGCTCCTCCTGTGCTCGCTATATGAAGTGTACAAGGCCTTGGAGGAGGAGATGGACAGGAACTGCCACCACCCCAGCGTGGCCCCCATTTACTTCCCCGCTGAACTGGCCAGACTGGAGGCTGTCGAAAAAGACCTGGCGTACTTCTACGGCCCGGACTGGAGGGAGAAGGTTGTTGTTCCGGCTGCCACTAAAAGATACTGCCACAGGCTCAGACAGGTATGTTTTCGTAGTTTTCCGACTACACCACACTCAATATATATATATATATATATATATATATATATATATATATATATATATATATATATATATATATATATATAATTAGTTTCTCTACTGTTCAAACTGAAATAACTCTTCGCCCTGCTTTGTTTTTTTTCAGATCGGTAAAGAAAACCCTGAGTTCCTGGTTGCCCACGCTTACACTCGTTACCTAGGAGACCTGTCAGGAGGACAGGTCCTGGGTCGAATCGCCCAGAAGTCCATGGGGCTGAGAAGCAGCGAGGGTCTGTCGTTCTTTGCCTTCCCCGGCGTTTCCAGCCCCAACCGCTTCAAACAGCTGTACCGCAGCCGGATGAACAGCGTGGAGCTCACTGAGGAGGAGAGAAACGGCGTGCTGGAGGAGGCGGTCAGAGCGTTCGAGCTCAACATCCAGGTACACGGCGGTGAAAACCCAACTTAGATGTCCAAACCATGTAAACCAGAATCAGCTGATGGACTTTTTTTTCTTTCTTCTTCTTCAGGTCTTTGAGGATTTGCAGAAGATGCTGCTGAGTGCCCCTAAAAACAAGCTGCAGACTTCCTCCACACCGGTGAAGATGCTCCAGATCCCCGGAGCCATCATCCAATCATCTCCGCTGTTCAGGGCGCTGCTGGGACTTTTTGTGGCTGTGGCCACCGTCGGCATTGGAATCTATGCTTTTTAGAGACGATCACACAGCAGTAAATCAAAGGCGTTTGTCTGCTGCGGTTAGTTTACTGTTAAGAGCCTGTAAAGGATCAAATACTGTAAAATACGTGTTTTGATTTGACTGGGAACCTTATTATCTAGGTTTGCATCAAGGTTGATTTTCTGTCACTGTTTATCACTGTGCATGAAGGTGAGCTAATACTGTAAATACGCTACTTTTTAAATAAAAATATTTTGTAAAAAACCAAAGCGCCTCTTCATTTTTCCTCTTTGTGTGCGTCAGTCCGTCGCCTCGTTGGTTCACTGCTCACGCCGGCCGTGTTCCTGCAGTGTGAACGACACTGCGGCTCATCCGTATAATAGCTCCTGTTTAATTTAATAAAGCTGATGGCTAGACACACAATAAAAGACAATGTGTGAAATCTGGTGTCCTCTTTCATTTTAATAAATCTGCACTCTGGTGGCACACATCATAAATTAAAACCCAAACTGATTGCTAACAGCAGCCAAAGCAAATCCCTTTGCTTCATTTCTGGCCGCAGTCATAGTGATACAAATCAGTACAGTGCTGGTATTTATTTGCCCCAAGAGGACAACTAGAAGAAAAAGTCATGTCAGAGGATTGTACTTCACAGGAATTGGCTTTCCTTAACCGTAAAAGGCCCAGCAGCCTGAGTAAATCACAAAAGTCTTATCACATATGCTGTTCACATCTCTAAAGGCTGAAATAATGCTTTAAAATGGTAAATTCACTGTACTCGTATCATTTCTTAATGTGGTTTTAACACTACTTCACGTTGCATTCGAGACTTTCACAATTCAACACAGTTTGTGTTGTACATCATAAAGCCAGTATCACAGAGTACACGTTCAAAAGCAAATAGTTGAAAGGGGTTTGGTTTGACCAGACCCAGGAGATGATCACGTGCTGTATAAGAAGGCTCACACCACAAAACAAACCCCAACAGCCTGGAACTAGAAAACGAGCGAACTACAGCGAGGTTTACAACCAACGATTCACAATGACACCTCGACATGCCAAACTGTACACGCCGTCTCCTCAGACAACACACACATCACACAATCACCTACACACTCTACAGGCGAGGAGCACCCCGACGTGCACATCTTGTCTTTGTATATATTACTTGCAGTAAACAATTAAAAGGACACACTAAGGACTGCTTTTTGAAAGAAAACACAAACTCAAGTTAAAGCAAAGGAGACGGTTCATAGTGTTGGAAGGCCAAAAGAAAGAAAACAAAAACAGATCCACATCTATGAAATCAGCGTAAGAAGGAACTAAAAGGACCCACAACTGTAGTCAAATAAAATTGCATCTGAATGGAGACCGTTCTATATCATTCAGGGGACCACACAGCATCACTGTTTTTCAGTGTCCTGATCATTGCATATCAGTAAAGAGGCCATTTGTTTTTGTCACATTCAAGGTCACATTGTTCTTTAAAAAGACAAAAAAACTTCACTGGACTGAGACAAATATCCTGCCTTCTCTCCATTGGCAGCACATATTGCACAATAAGTCTAGAAAGGGGATGTAGATCATGGAGACATTAACGTCAAAATATCACAAATTTAAAAAAGACGGTCAGCCGTACAAAAACAACATTACTTTGCAGTAATATTTTGCTACGTGTACAGATTTCTATATTCCTCATCTAGCTTAATTTGGCACATCTTCCTACTGTTAAAGGCAAAGTGTTTCAAAAGCCCTAAAAAGGTGCATATCAGACTAAGCAATGGGGCACCGTTTTCAAACAAAGGTTTTTGGCTAAGAAGGTGCGGTTAGTTTTAGGCACGAGCAGCCGTCGTCGGGCTGCTCAGTTGGTTTCATAAGAGGACAGCAGCGCTGCATCCACCGGCTCCATGCAGGACGGGCAGGTGAAGGAGCGCATCAGCCACGCGTCAATGCAGTCCACGTGGTAGGTGTGGAGACAGGGCAAGAACCGGATGGGGTCGCCGTACTCAAAGTCCATCATGCAGATCACACACCTGGTGGGGAGAGAGAGAGAGAGAGAGAGATTGAGTTCATGATCTTTATGTATGGAGGTGAGGTTTGGAAAATCCGCTTAGGTCAAATCACTTATTCAAATCCTGCAGACAATGTGGAGTACAGAATAAGACAAGATCTTATCAGCGAACACAATACCAAAATAAAGCCAGTTCATTGAGTTAGATCAAAAACAACAACAAACAAACAATGGGAAATAACTTTAATGAATAACAGTACACATATCTTTGACCCACTCTTTAACTTTCTTGTCGGAGGGGTCAGTGCCCAGGTCAAAGACGCCTTTGGGGAGGTGATGGATGAGACCAATTCGCTGAGCGATGCGGACCTGCTCCTCCTCGGTCAGCTGGTAAGCGAGGCGACTCTCTCCTGGGGTGGGATGGTACACTTGCACAGGCTGCTCGCGCTCCTGGGGAGGAAGCAACAGAAGACAATCGGCATCATTTGTGAAGAGAGTCTACATCGAGGAAAGACTTTAGCTGCTCCCTTTGAATTACGGCATTACAGCGGAATTCCGAGGCTGATGTTTGTCAGGGTGATCACTTCAGTTTTAGATGTCTAGCAGGATGCTCCTGTGCTTCGAGCAGCAAGGAACAAAATCAAAGCACCGCTCGGTAAACGGGTCTCTGATTGTTAACTTTTAAGATACCTGTGTCAGCATTGTGGAGTAGTATGACTTACTTTGCTTACAATGGTAACTGGAACAAGAATAACCTCAACCGTAAACAAACTTTATCAGATATCGTGGTTAATAACAAAAGACACAAACAATGAGTTGATCTGGGATAATCGTGATTATCATCAAAAGTGAAAAAGCAGCCCGTTCAGAGGCTGAAGTCTGCAGCGTCATCTCAACAAGTGGAAATATGATTCAAGTTTTAAAATACAGAAGTTAACCTTTAACGGAATACAATTACCGAGGTGACATGATGGAAAATCACCGGGGTGTATTTAACTTTAGCCCCACAAGCTCACCTGGTAGGGCGGCGGAGGCTCCCCGGGCAGACTGCCCCCCTCCGACTCGTTCAGTAGAGACAGGTCATCCGCACCTTGAGAAAACAGGCAGTTCCCCATCGAGCCGGGACCACCATGAGACTCCGCTCCGCTGTGAGGGGGGCGACACTTTATCAAGCGTCAGCGGGAGCTGAGCTACTTGGCTAACGTTTTAGCACGTCCTCCTGGCGTTAGCCTCGTTAACTGTAAGCCTAGCCTGTTGTTAGCCTAGCTAGCTGTTAGCCTAGCTAGCTGTTAGCGGATAGTTTGTTGTCATCCCACAAAGAGCTCGAGGGACACACCACAGGAGAAACGAAGTCGCTCTCGTCGGGGAATAAACGCTCAATGATGTAATACACGGTTAGAAGATTGGTGACAAAGAGTTTGACCGTCAGGTTCGAGGCGTTCTTTTGCGTGTCCGGTTGCGTTTTACCTTCTTGTTGTTTACGAAAAACCAGTAAACCGGAACTACGTCACTGGTACGTACACCACTTCCGCCTTCAGCCACACGATGCTCAGGCGCATTCAGAATAAAAATATATATTTATAGGGGAATCATAACATTAACAAGTTTTTAAAAAGTAATTTGGTGTCCAATTGCAACACCAAGAGTAGTTGTTTCGTTCTGTAGCATTTACACAAAATCGTATAGATCACCTTAAAGAAAGAGGAACGGGTTATGTTTTTAATAAAAAGACAGTTTACCTTGAATCAAAAATACATATTTTACCTCTGAATCCACATTGTCGTGTTGTGAGTTGCAGATATCGGCGAAAGAGGGGTCTTCCTTTCCAATACCATATATAGTTTTGCTTTTGGATACACAAAGCAATGTTTTCATGCAGGAATCCAGCAACATAATTCTGTGACATGTCAATAATACAAAGATCAGGGGTGCAAACTTGTAACCTTTCGGCGAAATTCGCCGTTTTTGTTTCAAAATAGGTCATTTGTGTGATTCGTGTTGATCTGCAATAAAAATATTTTTTGGGGGGGGTCCGGTCCGGACCTCCAAGTAAGACCAAGTCTTTCTAACGTAGTCTAACGTGCTAATGTCAGACAGTTGGCTGTCAGACGCCTCGCAAATCACATCAACCATTTTTGTTGGTTACAATAACGGTGTTATCGGATACAGTGTCTATTTCTCGGGAAAAATCTAAGCGAGAAAACGACGAAAAATGTACCTACCTTACCTTCACATTAAAAAATCCTAAAATAAATAATGGGAAATCAACGCTCTAATATCAATGTAATGTTAGCGAATGAGGGGTGAGAAGCCCCCTCCCTCCCTCTTGCTAATATTTATTCTGTTCGTCCAAAGCGAAATCTATTCTTGAGGTTCCGAACATTTCCAAAGCAATTTGTCTTTGAATGTGAGTAGTCGATCGAGTTATCTTATGTCCCGTCGTTTGAAGCAAACCTTTTAGCTCTGGCATTGGTCTCCCATTATTTATTTATAACGTCACTGGAATGGAAGTCCATTTTCCAGGCTCTTGCACGCCCCCTTCATTGAGGCAGAGGTTAGGTTTGCCTTCCATATGTGCTTTTTCACTTTGTCACCTTTTTCATCCCCGATGAGTTGGCACACCTGAAAGATCATCTAGTCATGTTTGTTTGGTATCTTGGCATCGACCTGTTAGCACACACACCTGACTAGAAAGAGAAAACAAGTGGTGGGTCGAGGATAGCAGGAACAGATAGTAAGGCTGATATACTGTACTTGTTTTGATTAAAAAGAGCAGCTGCAGAGTAAAGCAGTCAGAAAACCTGCAGAACAACCCCTGGATTGTATTAACAGTGGGACTTTGGCTTTCTCTAATATCAATCTCTAAACCTTTGGACACCAGCGCCTCTACCGCCACCACTTCCTCAATCATGTGGAAACCAGACTCAAAGTACTAGTCCTCCACCGCCCACTGAGCAATGTGTATCACCTCGAGGAAAACAACTCCCAGACAACAGTTCTAACACATGAGCCACCAGGAAGAATGCTGCTTGGAAGGTCCTTTTACATAGTGGCCATTCAACCTCCGGCTCCGTCATGTGACTCCAGGCGGCCCAAAAATACTTCATACCACAGAGATGGATGAAACTCTGCGGTTTATTATTTTAGTTTTTTTCAGATGATACAGAAACACTTACAGATACAGAAACTGTGCTTATTTCATCCAATCGGTTGTAAAAAAACACAAACTGGCCAAATCCAATTATTTTCCTTTCTTTGTCCTTGTGAATGTGTTTCACCTTTTTGGGGGGAAAATAGGATCAAGTCTATGGAGTTTGACTTTTACTTGACCTTATGCCAAGATATCTCGACCGCGGATCCTATTTTAAACTCTCTATTTTAATTTGTTTCCTGAGTTTCCTTTACGTTCTCAACATGTGTGTGATTTTGTGCAATACTGTGGAAAATCCCATTTTTTGCAATTAAATTGAATATATACTGTAAGTATTACATTAATACATTTTTTTTGTATTGTTTATTTCAATGTTAAAATGTTAATTTATAGCAATTTTAAAAGACTTTGATGTTAAGGCTTTATAATCCCTATATGTGAAAGTATAATGTTCACTGTGATTTAGTTGATTTACAACATTTGAATGTTATACGTTAACAATTCTACATAATATATCAGTTTATAATAATGCTGCATTTGTAACATAAACGTTTATACTTGTATCTTATTATTATATAGTCATTACCTTGTATTTGGTCTGTGGAAATAAAGACATGGCACACGGCAAGATGGTACAGTCAAGAACATCCTTTTTTATTCAATCAGGTGCTGCTCTTCTCAAACTGTATTTTTCTTCTTATGGAAAAGAAACTGTAATTAACACATGCATTTCACCTAGAGCTCTGGGGGTGTTCTCACAAAGAAGTGGTGCTGCACTGAGGTGCAAAAGAGCTGGGGGTCAGAGGGCCTAGGGTGCTGCCTATTACACCGATAACCATACACGCACGCCGAAGAAGATAAAGAGAACAAAAAGAACGACAGAACAAAGACACAGAGCAGTCCGGCATGAGGTGGTTCAGAGGAGACTAATGGAGGGACTTCCTCCAATATCGGAGGGACCTGGTTCACGCTGGCCTTTTTAATCGATCTGGTTGTAAGTGGATAATACTGCTTGGCCTGGCGAACAATAATACTTCACTTTATGAGATTGGTTTGAATGGATGTCGATATATCCTGGAAATACAGAAAAGACACCCTCTTTCAGCCTCGTGCAGGACAAGTCCGTTTATAAGGTGCTTGCAGCTTTCATTTACAGTCCAAAGGCGTCCCTTGAAGAGAGCCTAAACGACAGCATACCCCGATAGCAAATATTGAAAGAAATCCAAATTAAAATGAAACCAAAATAAAAAATAGGGGGAATTAAACAACGGCAAAAAATAAATAGCTAAACTCTTATCCTACTCAAAGCAGCCCCTTTCCAACATCCTGGAGCAGTTGGTACCACCCTCTACCCAAACCCCAGTCGTCCTTTTCCTAGCCCACCCAAGGACACCCCCAAAAGCCCGTCAGCGTAATTTGTTCACTTACATTAGCTGTTGAATGGAGAAGCTGAAGAAGATGGGTATGGTAATACAATGTGAAGCGTACAGACAAGAATAACATGTGAGCTAACTGCATTCTGCTCGGACAAAAGTTTTTTCGGCAATAATTTTTTTTTTCTTTTCTTCCCGCCCTCCCACAACAGCGGAGAGGACGGGGGAGAGAGACAGAGGGGGAGAGAGGCAGACACACAGTTACAGACTACCCCAGTGTCTAAGAGAAAACAAGACAGCGGAGACAGAGGGGAAGAAAAAAGCAAGACCTGAACGAGAACAAGTTTTTTTGCCTTTCCAAAAAGGTTTTTTTTTTTTTTTTTTGTCATTCATCAATAAAAAGTAAAGAACTAATTCACACCAGTTTCCTTTTGTACTAGATATATACACATACACATGTGTGTGTATATATATATATACACACACATCCGCCTTTGAAAAGGAAGAGAGGATATAGGGGTGGTACAAGGGGGGAGATTCTTTTGGAAGGCGGCAGGAAATAAAAAGTCGTCCCTGAGCGCTGACCTCGGGCCCCCTCGCAGCACTCAGGCCCACCCGGTTCCCTCCAGTGGGGGGGGGGGGGGGCGATCTGGATTACAAAATGGAGTCTGTGAACAAAAGGCACTTTTAAGGGACAACCTTTAACTGCTGGGAAACTATACACTACAGCACGAGCACTATAAGAGTAATTTACAGAGGAGGGGGGCTGAACAGGGGAGAGGCTCACCTGTTTTAGAAATACTTTCAATCTCACTTCTTTTTCGGCTTTTCAAGCTTCTATTACCCCTTATGTGGTCTGCTATGTGCGCAGGAAGCCAAACGTCTGACCTGTTACTCTTTCCATTGCACATGGGTGCCAACTCACCCGGGTGGACTTTATCCGGCTCTAGATCCAGAAGCGTGATAGTGGGCATAAAAGAGGTCTGGATGTGTGTTTATGCTCATGTGTGAGATAAAAAAATGAGTTGAATTGGGCGGGTCGATTTGTCGTTGTTTGCTGGTGCGTTTTCAGGCAGTCGTCACACGTGTTTCTTGACAGTTTGTTCGTTTTCTCTAAAAGGTTGAACCAAAATGCCTTTTGTGTCACAACCTTAGGGATTAGGAACCTCTCCCCCCACTCTATACAAATAGAAGAAGAATAAAAATAGAGAGGAATAATGCGGTTCCCTAAATGGTCTGTTACTTTTGTTCATTACCATTCATGTACAATAGGTTTGAATGTACTTTATAGTGTTAAAGCACCAAATTTCATCTGATAGAGAATATTTTTCCCCAAAGTTGTGTAGAATTTCTTTTTTTTCTAAAGCCCTCCCACATTTTTTATAAACAATTGATTACACATAAAACATAAAAAAGAGACAAAGGAAATAAAAACAAATACCCCCAACCTACAAAGACTAGGATTTTTCGTCGCCCCTTGGTTTAGAGTCCCGGTGCTTACGGACTTGAAACAAATACATTTTTTTTCTCTTTTCTCTTAGCTTTCTTAAAAATCTCTAACAGACAAACACAATGATCTACCCAATGCATTGCACGTGGCTCAATCGACACATATTTTTCAATAATAATACTTTCCATCAAAAAACAAACACTTTTTTTTTCTTCAAACCTATTGTCAATTCTTTTTGACACGTTCATTTAGTCGTTACGATGCTGCGCTGCGGATGGCCATGGCGTGTGCCGTTTCATTCGTACTGGTAACAGTGAGCAGATATCACTGAAACAGTTGCGTGTGTGTGTGTGTGTGTGTGTGTGTGCGCGCGCGAAGGGGGTGCGGTGGAAGTTGGTCAGAAAATAACTAGACTGCCAATCAGCTCATGTAGTAAGAGTTAAAAAGGAGTATATATTGTAAATATATATGTATAAGATCTCTCTCTCTCTCTGTCTTTACAAAAAAACAAAAGGAAAAAGGTTTGCAGTCCTCTATAAAGATCTGTCCTCGGCCGATTGTTTAAACAAGCACCAACGCTATTCAGCATAGCTTTAGCTTATACGTGGGAAGAGAACCTGAAGTGAGTTTATTACTAATTGAATGAAGGGAATACAGAGGCACTTTCATATATTGTTATAGTCTTGATATATGGTTTTAGTAGATAGAGCTAATGTTACTAGAGCGGCTTAGAGCGACATCCAAGCCCCGTTTACTATCCCTGCAAAATAGAACAGCTAGGCAGTCCAGTTATTTTGTGAGGCTGGCTTTTGTCGGATTGTGTCATGGTGAGAATGATAGCGATGGCAAATTTCAATGTCAACATTGACGTAGACAAAAAATATATATGTCAAATTAAAAAAGACAAATCTTAAGTGAATGAAAAACCATTAACAAAGGCAGTCTGGAGAACCAAATATAAAGGATTCCCTTTATTACTTTATGTCAAGTTGTTGGTGGTGTTAGAGTGCATTCTATTTGTGCGTGGTTTGTGTGTGTGTGTGTGTGTGTGTGTAGTCCTCTGGGGTTAAAGGGATGAAGCAATGCAAGGGCTGCATGTGATGAGCTGTTGTTACTGTGATGTCCATACGCGAGAGATTTTAGAAACTAATGTTACTGATAAGCTGAAATCCGTTTTAACGCTGCAAACTATGGAAAATGAAAGAGTGTTATGACATGCAAGAGAAGTTTAAAACAATCCAAGTGCGACAAAAAACAAATCTGGCCCCAAAAAAAAGAAATAATCACAAAAAAACACCTAAAGCCAATAATAGCCAATAATATGAAGCCGATGATGCGAGTGCATTACTGAAAATGAAATTTGAATAATAAGATGATGAAATGACTGTTGTGCTGTCTGCAAGTGTGCACCTGTGTTTGTGCGTGTGCATGTGTGCGTGTGCTGCATGTTACAGGGCCTAGAATCCACCGTAAGAGCAGCCACAGCCTCGACTCGCTTCTCTAATCGCTCATCGGACCGTCGACGTGCAATACCGCTCATCCTTTATCAAAAATTAATAGTGCATAGGAGGTGTGGGGGGGGACGGCACATGTAGCGTTAGTGTTATGATCGTGTGCCGCGTGTTCACGCCTCGCGGCCATCGCTTACCCCGCAGCAGGACGCCTTGGTACTTCTGACAGGTACACACAGACTAGCCACTTACTGCATGTACGTCACACCGTCGGATGGCGTCACCGTGATTGGCCAATTGGCAAACAAGAAGAGGCGGGGCGCTGAGCTGCAGGCGGGGCGGTGGCGGTCGGATGGGAAATCCACAGACGTGGAGGCGGAACTAATTTGGATGGCGATCTTTTTGAAACTTGCACATCCAACTTCGCCGTTCACCACTACGGTTTGTTTCTTTCGGGATGTGCCGGCCAATGCATGGAGTTTCCATGGAGTTGGAGACAATAAAGCATATATATATATATATAAAAGGAACAATAAATGAATGATTGGTCATTTGTCAGGTTGCGATATTGTGTTTCCTTTCCGATATTGGTGAAGTGTGTGTGTGTGTGTGTGTGTGTGTGTGTGTGTGTGTGTGTGAGGCAGTTCCTCCTCTTCCTCTTCCTTGCATTCCGAGTCTGTCCACTCAATCTCATCGAAGCCTCTTGCACAAAGGGGGGGGTTGAACGTTCAAATGGTGTTAGGGTCCACTTGGGCTGGTGTGGGTCCTTTTTGTATTTCTTTTGTTCTGTAGTAGTACTTTGAATAGTGTTGGCTAGAGAGAAAGACCTTCTAGTGTCAGCATTCTGTTCTTAATCAGCGGTGATGTGTTTGTGTTTCAAATTTCCAATTTTCATGACACAATTTTAGCTCTTGGTTCAGAGGCCTCGTCAGAGGAACCAGGACTGTGGAGAGGAAAAGACAAGAAGAGATTAGGCTTCAAACAGCATCAGCAGATTAACATATTGCCATAAATAAAGGAGGGAGATTTAGGGCGATGCAACCGAGTGTGAAAAGTGTGAGGTATGAACCGCATCTTACACAGCAAAAGTCTTATTTCTACACAAAACAATGTTTATTCCTTCACATTTTATGTATTTATACAATGTTAGAACCCGCACAGTGCTCACATCCAGGAGGGCGTGTAACAAGCCAAGGTGACTTTGTTTTGTGAAGTGCTTTGTACAAGTGGTCCATCGGCCACCAGGTGGCGACCTTCTACTCCCCCCCCCCCCCCGGCTGAGCTCAGCTGTCCCACAAAAGTTACCACCTCAACTTCCCCGCTTGCCGTTTTTTAAGAGGGCTGACTCTGGCGTTTCCCTCATTAAAATCACTCGTGTTGTTTTGGAGCTAGAAATAGCGTTAGGGCAGCAGTCTTTTTGTCCCTCAACTGAATGGCTTTCCAGTGAGCGAACGCAGGGACGAGGAGCACTGTCATGCGGTACCAGTTTACATGTCAGCCGATCCTCCTAATACGGCTCTGCTCCGTGGGCCCCAAGTGGTCTCAGGCTACACTGTACAGCCACTCCAGAGATCCGGTTCCTCGGTTTGATAAGAGGGCAGAGGGGAGGCTCTTGGCGCAGGCCGAGCCGCTCTGGCCGCCGCTGACATTCCACAGGGCCTCGGTCCTGGGGGGGAGCGGAGGATCGCCCCACCTTTAACAGCAAACTCTCTGTTGTACCCCCCCATACCCTGCCGCCCATTCTAGCAAATCCGAGGAGGGTTTGCAAACCCCCCCACCGCCTCCCCTTCCTCGACCTCCCGTCTCTCCTCCGCCACCTCTGCCTCCCACCTTCCTACCCATGATTCCTTGGTGTTTGCAGATAAGTCCTCCTCCTCTTGGCTCCGACTTCCCTTAACCCCCTTCTCTTTTCCTCTCCCTCGCTTACTCCCGCTCTCCCAGTGTAATCCTTGGCAGCGGAAAGTGACCCCCCCCAGTCCAAGTTCAACTGCCTATGACATCATGTCTGGTTGCTGCGGGCAACCAGACAGCCGGGACGTGACTGTGGAGCGCAGTGAGCTTCAACTAACTCCCTCTCTCTTTCTTTTTCCCTTCGTTTTCTCTCGGTCCCTCCTACTTTTTCTCCCCCTTCACACGCGTCTCCCTCTCTCCTTCCTGCATGGCCGAGGTCTCACCACCAGAGAGCTCCTCAGACCAGCTTTTCTGTGCGTCTCGCTCTGACAAGCAGTGGGAAGACGCTCTCCCGCCGTCTTGGCTGGTTGGCTTAGCAGGCGGCGAGGCGCGCTGGCAGGGCCGCCGTACGAAGCGCCGCATATGCCAGAGAGCAGCAGGATCGGCAGAGACCTCCGTTACTAACTCTGGCTGGTGCTGTTGCTGACCTACTCGGCTCGTCTAACTGGGAGCAAGTCGATACCACCGCCCAGGTTCTGGCTGTGCGCGCCACACACCCGGAGGAAACGCTCAAAGTGTTGGTTTGATGAGCAGTAGCAGGGTACGATAAGTGGTTTGAGCAGATGTAAGCCGTCCTACAAGCCCTGTTGTTTTTAAGGGGCGGGCGATGGGCAAGAGTTCTGGCACAGGGTTGGAGTGTGCATGCAAGAGTGTGTGCGCGAGCGTACGCGTGCACATTTGGATGGTGTTTGCACGTCCCTTCGGTGCCAGGTCTACATCTATGGGAAAGTGGTGCAGGTGGGGATCTCGAAAATACTAAAGGGAGCAGCAGGAGAGAAAGTGAGGGAAACGGAGGTGGGGGTGGGGGGGGGGGTGCGCCGAGCAGCAGAATTTTGCTGAGGAGGAATGCAGATTGTTTCCATGTGTGGGGAGGACAGGAGATCCGAGTTGGCTGCAGGCAGGTGCGGTTAGCCCCTAATGAGAAAAGTTGTGTTGGTGATGGAGGAGGCCCAAGACACTGCAGCCCAGCGGCGGCGCGCAGCCAAAGCCCGAAACCACAATGTAGTTCACTACCGGCCTCACACGCTGCCCTAATACACACCGTGGGGCCGAGGAGAGATAAATCAACGCTGCTGGAGCCGAAAACCAGCTGACACCGCATGCATTCACTGTGGTGCAGACACTGTAAACCAATACTGAAACTGAAACAATCAGGGCGTCGCGATGGGCGACACGTGTCAATGTAGGGGGGAGAGCGTTGACGATTGATGATTTCTGCAGTCGGTACATTATTAAGATAAATGAATCAAGATATTAAGATAAAAATAAAAGTATTTTTTATTCTTGACCTTGAAAATATTTTGAAAATCTCCATTCAAGGTCCACTTTTTCTCTTTTTCTTTGGCTTTCAACCACAACACACAGCCTTTGCTCTGTTTTGATGGAAGTGAGTCTTTTGACCTGCAAGCGTAACATCTGCTCTTTAAAGCAGCTGCTTAGCGTCCACGTGAACAGATCCATCTCCACACAGTGCTCAGTAAACTGCGTCCCCCGATGGGCAACGTGGTTGACAGCTCTGAAGAATAAGCCTTTGCGTTGGGATTGGCCGGCCCAGAATAAGGCCTGGTTTAGCTTGTGTAGCGAGGAATAATCAAACTAACACCGGTACTATGGGCGGAGCCACAGAGAGCAGCACGTCGCCGAGCCATTGCACGTCGGTATCTTTATGTTTCTATGCAACCTTCACTCTGAATCACATGCTTTGCAAACCTGGAGAGGCCTACAGCAACAGAGCGGAGTCACACTCGCAGTGTGTGATGAGCGACAAAAACAAAAAACAAAAGGGAAACAAAGGACACAGAAAACAAGGAGGAGGTTGTGAGAATGACGATTAAATGAGGGAGGTGGGCGGGGTACCTGAGTCTGCTGGGGGATATTCAGAAAAGTTGTCCCGTGTTCCGATGCCGACAAACCGGTTGGGGAGCTGTGGAGCCTGGCGTGGAGTATGCTATAAACAGAGAAGAGACAAGAGTGTACATTGCTTTTTACACATACACATAACCAACCAAGCTCAAAGGAAGAGTTTGAATGCTCCTCAACCTTCGCTATCTATGTGTTTTAATATCTGCTCAGACTACGACTGGGAATCACTGTCAAAGGGTCTACTGGGAAACGACAGCCGAGGTCAGCGATACTGATGCCCCATTAGTCACGTGGGTCGTTTATTGTCATTTCGTGGGCAGGTTCATTGTTATTACCCTTCACTCAACCGTTGATTCAACAGGGACATGTTGACTTTGTTGTGATTAGCGCTAAAACTTAGAAGCCATTTCCCCAGAATCCGGCTGCGTTGTTAGTCACAGGCGCTCCTCAGCAGCCCCTGGCCTCAGTAGTAAGTCTCCATAATCATAGAAAAACCACCGTGGCCTTAATAACAGGGTGTCCGATGGAGGAACTGTGCTCGTCACCAGTGGCGACCAATGCTCCACTCGCGTTTAATGGGTTGAGAGGAGCCTCGTGACCACAAAGGGACACCGTTCGGTGACGCCACAGGATCAAATTTAGGGCAGTTGTAATCACTTGGACTCCAACGTGGCGGCTGAGTGGAACTTTTTGCTGTGCATTACTTAACTGAGGTTGAGGGGATGGGGGTGTGAGGGAGGGGTGACATTGACAGGGCTGAAAACTGATACATGACTGAGGGTGAGAGTGTAGCATATGCATGTGTGTGCCTTTATGAGCGTAACTACCATTATCTTGAGACTCAGAGACAAAATTAGAGAGGATCAAAAATAAATAAAAGAAAAGAAACACAGTGATAACAGTCACTGGAATGAGGAGAGAGACGGAGAGGTTGATATTTATTTATATAGATCTTCATATAAATAAATAGTGAAATACTGGGGAGAGGGGTTTGGGGGGGGGGGTGTGATAGGACAGGAAGAAGAGAAAAAAGTCAAAAACAAAAGGAGGAGAACCGCCCCCGGTTGCTCCGTCCAATGCCCCCGCTTGGTGTGCCTCTCCCGTGGCCCGACTCTCGCTCTGCACCTGCCTGGGTGGAACCAACCAGAGCCTCACCGCTCCCCCGGTGACACTCCTCTCTCCCGCTCCCCCAGTAACGCACTAATTAGACCGGTTTGATTCCACTCTATCATTCATGTTAGGAGAGATGGGGTCGTTCTTGTTACTCTGTGATTTCCATGTTTTTTGTTGTTCTCAATTTTTAAATTGTTGTGAGATTTGTGTGAAGGTGGCGAGGGGATTGGGTGGGTAAAGTGGGGCATGATGTTTTTTCCCTCGTTTTTCTTTTTGGAGTCCACGCCAACTGCCCTAATTTTGTTCCCTTAAAAAAAAGAAGATAAAAAGAGAGAAATAAAGGAACAAAAAAAAAACAAAGAAAGGGAGGATATGAGAACATATCAAATAAAGAGGGCAAAAAAAAGAAAGGAGAAGAAGGAGGTCGATTGAATTGCCGCTGACACGGACAGACATGCAAAGTCTGCCTCGATCAAAGGCTGGTGACTACAGAGGCAACGTGCACAGGGCCCTGCTTGGCTCTGCTCCCCCAACTACACAACACATCGATGGAAGGGAGAGAGGGGGGGGAGAGAGAGAGAGACTACACTTCACTGTGGTGCTTGCAGGAAACCAAACACCAGGGAGAAAAGAGAGAGAAAGAGTTAGTTTTCAGGAGAGAGAAGGAGGAAAGTATAGCTGAGGAAGGAGAAGAAGAACTAACTTCAGAGCCAGAGAGGCAGATAGGAAGCTTAATGGAAGATCTCTGGTTTGGCAAAGGCGTGACTTCTGCCCCGACAGAACTGGATCTGACTGGCACAGTACAGTGCGGCGCTTATGGCGATCGGTGACGTAGGGGTGAAGCTCCTGGGCCTGCTGAGCGTTCGACTGACGGACTGCGACCCTACTGGAAGCAGAGCACCAGCTAGACTGCGAGAGACTTCGGCGGGCATCGTAGAAATCCCGGGCCGCTGATGTCTGGGACGGCCGCGTCTGTGCCAGCCTAACAAGCTTGATGCGGCGGGGCTCGGGAACGGAGGACAAATCGGAGCTGGCTAACCTGGTGGAGGCTAAAATCTGGAGTCCGCGGGGAGGCTGGGGCAGTAGTGGGGGTTTGGTGGAGGGTGGTAGGAGTGGGGAGGGGGTGACTTACACGGAGATGCGGGTGAGCTGAGTCCGCCGTCAGTGGGCGTGCTGATGATTTTAGAGTCGGGCATGGGGAGGGGCACAGGGCGTGCCACCGGGGGTGGCGGGGGCAGCAGGAAGGAGCCCGGCATTTTGCTCTGGCCACCTCCATTAGGCTGCAGACGGACCATACAGACAGGGTGAGCATGACACACCCCAAGAATATACAGTGCACAGGGAGCCACACAACATGAAGTAGCACGCGCACACACACACACACACACACAGTCTCAATGTGAGACACTCATATATAGACAGATGCTAACAGTGTCCAAACAAGTAGTCACGCTCAGAGAACCGAAAAAAACCCAAGAGAGATCAGCAAAAATAAAACATCAGTCTTTGTGAGGTAGATAAGATGTGGAAAAGTGATGAACTTTGCCAACACACAAGGGGAAAAGAAAAATGGATTTGTACACAAGAGAAGTTATTATTGCGTAATCTAGGAATAGAGAAAAAAGAGGGAGATCCGCAATGAGAAAAGGGTGTGTGTCTGTGTGTGTTCAGTGGATGTGCAGCCTCATAATTCACACAGCGTCTTCAGTGTGTGTGAAGTAATGAGAACTAATGAAAAGGGCCTGACGTGTGGTTTCAAAGTTGCTCAGAAGGCCAAGTTTACAGTAGAGGTTTACAGTGGTACCGGCACCCTCCACCTCAGTGGGCGTGCCTGGAAACAATCCTGCAATTCCGCTTATCTGCACGTTCGACGTTCAGTTACGAGCGGCCCGTCAGTCGGGCCTTTCGAGGGTTGCACCTCCCATCACCGCCGTTCTACCGCCCGCAAAAAAACTCAAAAAGCCCCCTCCGGGCTCCAGTTACTTTCCTCCTCGGCCACTCATAAGCACCTGCTGCTTCCCCCCCCCTGACCCATGCGCCTATGTCCTCATCACTATCGCCGCGTGGACGTCTGTCACGCCGCGTTGCCTTCAGGTGAATCGGATTCGGTTACTTGTGCTGCCGCCATGTGTAGAGGAAATGATGGCAGGTCAAGGAAGGGGGCGGGGAAAGACGCGCCCCTGCAGAGAACAGCATTTCCAGAGTGAAGGGACGTCGCTCACCGTGGCGGCGGGTCAATGAGGGCTTGCGAAATGGCCATTGGAACGCACCAGTGGTCTTTAATGTCTGCTTCGGTTGTCTTCCAGGGAAAGTTGGATCTCCAGCCCCAAGCCATACATGACCTGTTCGATTTTTTTCCACCCTTCTTCTGACGAACTGTGGGAGTCGGTGTGGCGCGATGCGCCGCTGAGCGAATCAGGCATCTAATGTGGTTTGGATGAGGAGTGTTAGTTTATCTGGCTGCCTCCTCTCGTTGATGGGTTTGCCCCTAAAAAACATTTTCCCTCTTCCTCGGCCAAGTTGCTTCACCTCATTAAAATGCCGCCGCTGGTCACATGACCTCGTTGCTCATGCAGTGTTTTCCTTACCATTTCCCTACGCACTCGAGGGGTGGGGTTTAACATTCACAACTCTCCACTGCTGTCTCTGCCCCAACAGGCACACACACACACACAGGTGAGCACCGTCCCACCGGTAGACCGAGAGCGCGCCTCCACCCTAAGGCTGTACACCTACGCATGTACACCTTACACAATAGGACGGAGCGGGAACTCTGCGTACAGTTGTGATACTGCTGTTTCCTCGTGTCGCACCTCCTTCACTCATTTTCCACAAAAATAAAAACGGAACTCGTATCAGTGTGGTGGACTTTTGCACCGCATACCCCCCCTGCCCTCCCCCTCCCTACCCCTCCTTGGCTGAACCCGCAGAGCACCTACCTGTGCGCTGGGCTGGCCTGAGCCGTCGGTGCACACAAACTGCACAAACTCCTTAAGCGGGTCCTGGTGGTGGTGGTAGCGTATGGTGGGGTGGGTGAAGTACGGGCTGGACTGCTGGATGATGGAGGAGGAGGGGAAGTGCAGAGCTGAGGCTGAGGCCCGGGGACTCCCTGAGGAAGGAAGAGTGAAAGAGGGGGATAGGAAACCGTCGTGGTAAAGGAGAGGAGGGAGAGCGAGGAGACGGGAGACCAAAAGGAGGACAAAGAGAAAAAAACAAGCGCACAATGAGTCTGGGGTCATTTCATTGTTTTCTCCTACTAACAACACAGAACAGATGTTCAGCACACATAACACTATGCATACTATGATATCCGATTAACATGCACACCTATAAGGGGATTTAAAACCATGCACTTGTTTCAACAAAGCACCGACGCAGCTGGCGACAATGACCAGGTTGTCACAGCGTTGGAAATAGCTGTGACATTCTCTTGTGGGTGACTGACTGAAGCTGTTCCTACCTACAAATAACTGGCATTATCCCTGGCTATTGGGCAACATCTGGTGCCATTCGTTGTGTGAATCAGCCAACTAGATTTCTCTGAACCTCTGGTGAGCCTGGCACCAACACACACACACACACACACACACACACACACACACACACACACACACACACACACACACACACACACACACACACACACACACACACACACACACACACACACACACACACTCACACACAAAGGAGTTGTTACAGTACTTTCTGCCTTCTGCTCCTTCTCAATTTCTCTCTCCAACACACACACACAAACAAATCATTGGGGTTTGACAGCGCAACACACACACAAACACACACACACACACTGGTTTCACTTTTGTTCTACTCAATCAGCAGCATATCCTCACTGCGCGGTTCTGCCCAGTAGTTTGTAGCTTGAGAGAAAACCCCCCCCCCCCGCTTCCAACCGACCACAAAACGCCCCCCAGAAACATTAGTTAGCCCGCAAGCCCACCGCACACACACACACACACAATAGGCTCCCCTGCCTGTCTTGTCTGTTGAGATTCTATGGGTTTGGCAATTTGGCACACCAAAACAAAAGAAGCAAGCTGCTAGGTGAGCGGCAGCCTGTCGAAAGAACATCTGTGACCATGTCTGTCACCTCCCGTCTCTTGCGTGCACAAAATGTGCGAAGGGCGCTTCGCTCAAACTTTCGCAGTTTTGGGTGTTCCTGTGATTTTAGTGCTCGAGTCTTCTGCGAGTCTCTGTCTGTTTTTCCTTGATGCCTGTTTGTCCGTCTGAATGCGCTACTGTATCTATGCGCGTAAGTTTATGTGTGTGTGTGTGTGCGTGTGTGTACTCATTGTCACAATGGCGGACTCTCCAGTATAATCAGACAACAGTCAGTCTGGCAGCGCTCCACGTCAGCCAAGAGCCAAAAACTGGAAATAAACCATGCAGCCTTTACTCCTGAACACCCACACTCACTAGACCTACACAACCACAGCAAACAGCTCGGGTCCATCCAAGGCGAGCGCTGATTGCTAACTGCCCCCCCTCTCTGTCTACCCCCATTTCTCTCTCCATCGCTCTCTGCTTCCCCCGCTCCCATCGGCCTCCAGTCTCTTTATAGAACCAAGGCCTCCGAGGGACATTCCATTTGGACGGCAGCCATTTTAGCACAGAGAGTCCTCCGTGAGAGTGTAAACGCACATGCACACACACACGGGCGCACAAATGCGACCATGCAGGATCCCCTAACACGGCCTCATTACAGCCTCTCTGTTACACGAACACCCCTCAGCCATCGGTGCACTCTGAAGAGTGTGAGAAGTTAGTTGGGGAAGAAGGAATACCTGAGCCGGTCCCTCGCACCTCTTCAGCTCGCGCACTAAACAAGAGGTGGAGAAGAAGTAGGGAAGCGATTCAAGTGCAAAACTCTATCCAGTGTTTTCCGAATCCTCTAAAGGGCACAGGACCGCTCCGTGCAGATGAACAACAGCGCTTAACGGTGAGAGATCCGGCCCGGTCCGTGCTTTATAAATTCAATATGCCTCAGCATGCAAGGCAATGAGTCCAAATTACCTTTACATGGTAGATCTGGTTTGGCTGTGGACCAAACCATCCCTCTGAGAGACAAATGGAATGAGAGGGGAGGACATATTCATTTCTTTGAAAAGTGAGACCAGCCTACAGGGACTTTTTGGCAAACTTGAGATCTTGGAGACTTTGGGAATTCTCTGACTGGAGATGGAGAAACCATGTTGGTTATTGTGTAGGAGCGAAAAAGCTCTTATGAGGAGAACTTGCCCTAAATACCTCTCATGAAACAAGACCTTGAAAACAAAGATACTAAAAGAATTTTATCCACTGCTGTAATGTGGGCTCAATTGGTCCCAGGTCTTTCAACAAAAGTAAAACTACAATTGTGCCTTCGAAAGTAAAAAACCCTCCACACACACGCATTAAAAAAACGGCACAAGGAAGAACCCTAACTAAGATCTACTGGTTGTTGGATGTCTTCTTCTTACGTATACAATTGAGTAGTTTTTAATCAGAACATTGAAGTGCACTTAACTTACATTCTTTCCAAAAGCCAGCAGGGGGCGACTCCTTTGGTTACAAAAAGATCTCAGATTGTATGGAACATAATTTATTGCCTCAGTAAACAAAATAAACGTGGGTTTATTGTCTAGTTTCAACTCTATTTCAATAAAGCGTGATGCTCCTTTAGTCGCAATGGTCCCATTTAGAGTGAAATGGAGGATATGCTTTAGTGTGGGGCTCCCTTGTGTAGGTTTCTACCACGGCAACCGCTTTTGTGCGTTTTCATTTACAACTTTAACCCTCTCACAGTGTGTGAGGCTCGACCCTCTCGTGTCTCTTCTGGTTTCAAAACGGTAAAAAATGACTAAACGATCACGGTCAATAAACAGTCAATAAAACAACGAATGGCTTCATGGTGACTTCATCCACTTCTTAAAGACGGGGGAAACTGTCTGGTAACCGGATCCAGAATCCATCAGCTAACCCGCCGCTCCGCCCGCTACACAGAGCGCCGCTCGCTAGTTCCTTCAGACTGAATTGATATTCAACCGTGTCACGTGTCCAAATTGCACCAACTTCGACGAGGCACTCGACAGGGTTCTAAGCAGAACCGCCAACCAAGTGTCAGGTAGATCTGACACACACACACAAACACACACACACACACACACACACACGGACAGAGACTCCTTGCTTTCTACTTAAATGTCACTGAGCGTTTAGTCTTCTTACTAAATAAATTAAAGGTCAAAGTGGGCTTATAGCTCCATCTGGTAAATGAACACACCCGGCCAAGTGCGTTACATGGGAATAAACAGCTTTGTCAGTTTAAATGCAGGAACATTACAGTGGATGCATGAAGCAGTAAGATGTGAGGCAAATCAGTCACAAAGGCATGGCGGCAGCGATGGTACCATGCAATGACAATATTAAAAACACAAGAGGCACAAAGGTAATGGTCAAACGAATATGGATGGATGGAGAGAGACTGAAAGAGAGGGAGAGAAATATATGCCAAGCCATGATGACAGCAGTAACACTGAACAGGTGAAACTCTGCGGGCAAATTTCTTCTCAGCAGTTGCAGCTGTGGGACTTTAAAGTTGTATTTTGGACTTTAAAGTTGTATTTTGGTTCCAGGTATGTTTAGGACTTTTATTTTCAGGCAAGCGCTGGTACAATTTCCTTTGTTTTGGCAATTCTAGCATCACGTTTGACACTCCCTTTCCTTCTCTTTCTTTTTCAGGTTCTATGAGGGGGAGTCGGGGTTGTTGGGTTCATGGCAGCGCTTCTCACCTGGTCTCACTCCTGCCAGCACAGGCAGCGGGTGGTGTGTGAACGCCATGCGGGGGGACCTCGTCTGGGAAGTCAGGGCGTTGAAATCAAACTTCCCCGGCTTCTTAAGTGAACCAGGCGAGGACAGTCCTGGCAAAAAAAAAAATGGGATCAACAAAAAAAGTGGGTGGGGGAAGAGGGAGGAAAACAGAGAGGTGGTTTTAATCAATAAAATTGTTGCTTCTTTTATTGCCCCACTAAAGAAATATATATCCCTCTATATATATATATATATATATATATATATCAATTAGATTGTTGAAGGGGACCCCCGATTAGTTTATTTTGCTCATTGGTTGACGGCAGTGCATTGATCCCCGTCCTCCTGAATAGTGGCCAATGGCTCCTATTAGTTTCAATGACTCCAGGCTGTTACGAGTCATTCAGAGATCTACTGCAGGATTCCCAGCATTCTAGTCGTACACTGAGGGCTGAGCCGTATTTCAAATCCTAACTGCACGTCTTCAAAGAAAAAACGGGGAGAAATATCAAAAGCCAATTCTGGATCTGGTCTTTGTTCCGGAGCCAAAGCACATCTGTCGCTATAAAAACCTCCCTGTGCCACTGTATGTTTTTGTTCTTTTTTTTACTTCACTGTCTCATCTCCTTCTCTCTGTTTCTCTCTCTGCCGGGTGCCAACTGCTGGCTTTCTCTGCGTACGAGCGTGGCGACCGTGCAGCCGCAGTCAGCGAGTTGCGGTCTGGCTTGGGTGCAGCTCACGGGCTGGCTGCACCAGAAAGAAGGCTTCATTCAGAAATAGCACACACTGTACAGTATGGACACGGCAGCTGCTGAGTGCGAAAGACAAGCAGACGGACAGAGAGGGGAGACAGAGGGAGCGGGAGAGAGAGGCGAGAAGGACGTGGGAGACATGGAAATATGCGAGGGAGCGAGGGAGCGAGGGAGCGAAGCGGAACCTGTGAAAAATGCAGCAGCGGTCTTGTTTTTCAATGCGTCGCTCTGACGACATGTATGAAATCGGAATGTCGTGAGATGTTAAATATGGTTATTATCTCTCGCTCACACACACTGGCTCACACACTCAACGTCTATACGGCACAAGCGCGTGCCCAATGCCACAACGACGTTTAACTGATGAAACAGTAAAAAATGTACGTTCTCCGGTAAATTCTCCTCTAATCCGCCTAACAAGTGAGTGATGTGATGCTGTTCCTTTTCAAACTTTTTTTTCAAGACTTGTTTTGTAGTCTATTTCTGTGGCCCCCTCCGCATCAAACAAGGCATTAAATATGATTCCTCCTCAGTTCTCCAGCTGGAGAAGTGTGAAAGTCTATGGGAGTGTGGGGGCGTGCAAAACCTTCCCTCCCTGTGAGAAAGAGTTAAGTCTCAAGCAGGTGGGAGTGAATATGTGTGAACCATTTATGTCTTTTGCAGACATATATTTCTTCTCCTTTTTTTTTCTTCTTCTCTGCCCCCACTGTAGCGGGAGTCTGGGGGCGTATTGTACTGTCAGTCAGATTCCAAGCATGAAGACAACCCCCATCCCAGTTCTGACACCAACAGTTAGCAGTGATTGCTATGACACGGTCACAGTGGGGGGAGCGAAAACTGAATAAAACAGTTTGCAGGGAGACTTAAGACTTATGCTCTTTTATTTTGGAAGCATAAAATGGATCTGGAGTATCGACCTCAGAGGCTGTAGGACACAGAGAACATCAGATGGACGTTGACATCTGTGTATATGGGACGTTTCAGCGAGGCGCTAACACCGTGGGAATGTGAAAGACGGTACTCGGGTGCTTCAGAGACTGATCTGGTCACAACTGCACTGTTTCCTCTCCTGGCAACCCTTAGTATTTCACTGGCAACCAATCAAGCGCTCCCAGGATGACCCTTCTGTCTCTTTGCACTAACAGGCCTGCCACCAGATGCGCCTCAGAAGCACACAGACGCAGACAGACACACACATACACACAGACACAGAAGGAAAAGACAGGAGATAGTGGTTTAAACAAGTGGGGGAAAGTCAGGGAATTCTTCTCCCCCGGGTGATTTAAACCACATATGCACTTCCAGCCATACGCCTCTACGGGCCTGTAACATTTAACTCAAAGCACCAAGAAAAAGCCCCCCACCACCACCACCACCGCCGCTGCCGCCAGTCTCTGGTGTCCCAGCAAAATCCACAATCATTTGGAACTAATATGAAATCCTGGTAGTTTTTGCCTCCACTAACCTCCCCCACCCCTCTCCCAGCCCCTGTGGAGCAGATGTCTCTTGCATCCTCACGGATCCCAAGGCTACACACACACGGAAACACCATCTGGGACCATGCTTCAGCTGTGTGTGTGCGTGTGTGTGTGTGTGTGTGTGTGTGTGTGTGTGTGTGTGTGTGGGGGCCGTGTGATAGTGTGCAAAAATCTGTCATGTGTATTTCAGTAAGCAACGGCTTTTGTGTGATTCGTATGTATGGATGCGTCTTCATGTATCAGCGTGTGTTGGTGATGGAGGGAGTCGGGGGGAGTCGGCGGCGCTGTGGACAGACGGCGAGGCACACCTGTGTGTCAGTGTGTTGACGATTTTTTTAAACAATTCTTTTTTTTTTTTTAAGAAGCCCCTTGGTTTGTTTGTTTGTAAGAGCGCTTGTGTGTGTGTGTGTGTTTGTGTTTGTTTGTTTACCGCCCCCCCACCTGGGCGGGAATTCCCACATGAGCTTTGCCTGTGGCAGGTGGGAAAATTTGTGGAAAGGAATCGTATACACACTGTACCGAAACCAGTCACTCTGTACTCACTCCAGTCCTCCATCTCCCTTCCGCTCTGGCTTCTCTCGGGCGTGGAACATTTTTTTTTGTGCTAGCTACTGTTGAAGAATTTAAGAGAATATATCCAAACCCACACATGACATGAAAAAAAGGGAAATGGCCGATAATTACAAAAGCTTTTCGCTTCCTAAATCGTCACTTGGATTTAGTAAAATAATTGGGTAAAGGGTCCAGATTTGCACACTATTCCACACCTCAATTTGCCAAACTCATTAGGAGGCGAACGCGTCTGTGTGTGGTGCACTTTGCAGAGTAAGGGGGTGGTGGACACAGTGAGGAGGAGAGAGGGAGTGGGAGACTGAGGAGAGAAAAAATAGATGAGGCTCTGGTGCGCGAAGGCGTGCAGCAGCCCCTGTTGTGGCTCTGATGAGCAGCCTCTTAATTACATTTACAGCTAAGTGGAGCGGGAGCAGGAGAGCAGCCGCCGAGCCTCGAGTGCGCGTAGACCCACAAAACCTAACCAGGGCTTTTGGCTCCTCTCGTTCCCATCCCGATAACCCATCTCTCTCATTAGCTACCCTGAGTTGTCCTCTCTTCCCGCTCTCACCTCCCACTTGCCTGCTTTCTGCTTCTCTCTCCTCCTTCTCTCCTCCGACATGTTTTCTCTAAACCCCCCCAAGGTCCCTCCTGCTGTACACGTTTTCAATTAGACAGCAGGGAGACGGGAATGGAGGGTTGAAGGGAGGAAGGGTTTTACACCTCTGATCCACAGCCGGTAAGCGTCTTAATGAGGGATTTGAAGCGAGGGAGAAACGGGACGACAGAGGGATGCAGGCGAGGCAGACACCTGAACACCTGCAGGGGTGGGCAGCACGATAAGCATGTGCTTCGAAGTGCGAACGTCTGCACGCGTGGGGGGGGTTAGAAGTGTGTGAGCGTGTCACTGTGCATGTGCACACAGCGTGTGAATGAGCCATTTGGTGGTGTCAGACATCTGTCAATGGGTGGAGGTAAAGCCGGGATGGTGCATGTTTCAGCCTCAACGGCAAGATGAAATTCCTGATCAAAATCAATCCGACAATCGCTAAAAATACGGGTATCGAGACTCAAATATGTGGTCTCATTTAGCGGGACCGTTACCACATACACATACAACATTAACACACATACACAGTATATATTATACACATTATTTGTATGTATAGAGAGAGAGAGAGAGAGATACAGAGGAATGGCTACATGAAGGCTGATAGATAGCAAGCAAGTATCAAAGTAGTGTAATCAATGTTGTTCTAACCATGGTAAGGAAACTGCACGCCATCGTTTTCATGTTTTATCTTCCTCTCCTGCACACTCGCCAAATGATGCTGAACTGAAAGTGGAGAAGGGTATTGTTAACACACAGGGACAGCGAGAGAGAAGGAGAAAGCGTGAATGACACAACATCAGTTAAACTGGATGAGGGATTATGACTTCAGGCTGAGGATGAGAAAATGTAAATAAGTGAGTTTTATATTGGGTTGTTTTAGGGGGGGATTACTGAGGAGGAAGAATAGAGACGTTGGTGTCCATAAAGCTGAATCACAGAGGTATGGTAGTTACGGCCAAAACAATAGAGACACCGACACGGAGCCTTAATGCAGGCTGCTTCATCCATCTTGGCGTTGATTTTAACAATGTCTGGGGCTATTTGGCGGCTTGCATTTAGCACCATTCATCCAGGATGAATTCAATTTTTCTGAGGTTATAATAATAACAACAGTTTTACAAGAGGTGACCAAAGAAGGCCAAGACTGTGATTTAAAACATGATGATGCTTTTAAACCCGTTTACTGAACAGTGGGGGGAGACGGATCTGAGATCCTGGGAGGTGATGGAGGTAGGGGGTGTGGAGTAGAGACTAAGTCAGGCGGAACCATCAGTTTGGACTTTGTTGGTGGTGGTGAGGTCAGGCAGTAGTGTGTTAGTGGGGGACAGGAGTGGTGCTGGATAAAGGAGGGTCCAGACGGGTACCTGCATCCATGTCGTTGGGCCACGCACTGGACTGGGAGGAGCTGGCAGCAGGCGAGCGTCCCGGGTAGAAAACCTCATCCGTGGGACTCTCCAGCTCACTGTCGTCTAATGACTTCCTCTTGGTAGAGCTAAGGTCACAGGGGAGCGAGGAGGAGAGGTGGGCGGAAAGAGGAAGAGGGAAGAGGCATGATTTTATTTTACATATGTGACATCAGGGAATGTGTGTGTATCACGGATAAAATAGATCATAGAAAGAATCATAGAAACAAGCACTTAAACATTACGGCACAGACGCAGCATGAGAGAATAGTGAGGAAACAAAAAGGAAAGTCAGGAAGTAGAGTCTGGCACACAGGAACACTCTCTCCCTTTCTCACTGTGTGTGTGTGTGTGTGTTTCTGTGCGTGTGTCTCGTTAGTTTGTAGGTGTGCATAACTACCTCCGTGGAAGGTTTGCGTACAACTCCACCTCAGACCTAAAATGCCAGCAGACATCCGAGGTAGGAAGGGAGAAAGAGACAAGTTAAGAAAAAGAGCATCACACGTTCATAAAGAGGAGAGCAGCCAATATGGACACACACACACACACACACGCACACACATACTGTATATATAAAAAGGTTTAGGACAGATTCCAAGACTGGGAATGGACTGTGGCACTACATGCCATTTATAGCCAGAAAACTCAATGAAAAGCGGCACCCTACTCGCCAGTAAAGTCATCCTTGCGGTACGAAGCGATACGCAGTTGGCAGATATTACTGTGAATTCACACTTCCCTCCGCTCTGCCCTTGGCTTCACAGCCAGTCCCATACCAAGGTAGCACTGCACTACCGCCACACGGCCTCAGGACTCGACTAATGCCGGACGGCGGTCGCTCGTGGCAACACGCAACGCCGCCTGACACGCGCCGCTGTACCTGGTAGAAGGAGGGGAGGTGAGCGAGCGCCGCCCCAGAGCCACCTGGTTGATGTTGTAGTAGCTGGGACTGCTGTCCAGGTCAGCCAATGAGAAGTTAGGACCTGACGCCGTGGCTACGGGTGCTGATGGGGAGAGGACCAAAAGATTGAGTTGCAAGGAGAAAAAATAGAAAAATGGGTGAGGATATGTACAGATGGGAAAAATAATCATCCATAGAATTACATTGGGTCTCATTGTGCTTCCATGCACGGGTTTGAACATTATGAGAAGGTGATCATAATGGCATAGCTGCAATTTCTACCTAACTACCTAATCTAACTAACCACAACACAAATATGCTTGAAGCCACAGAAGCCAGTGTGGTGCTTACTTACTCTGCGACACTCTGACCAGCTCTGCCACGTTCCACACCCCCGAGGTGACAAAGCAGTCCTGGAAACTCAGGTGCCCTGTGGAAAAGAGTTATGTGATCAGGACAGACACGACGAAGCTTTGCACTAAAATAGCACCGCATCAGAAAATCAGCTAATTGTGTTTAGAACAAAGAAAGATTAAAAAACAAAAATTGGAAACCCTGAAAAATAGCAATCCCTTCGGAAGGCAGCCATCTGCAACTTTGTTTGTGGAACAACATCTGTGCCAGTGTGTTTGCTAATTGGATCCATAACGGGAATATGTTAAGACTGATAAGCATGATAGAATCAATTCTGGTATGCAGATTTGACAGTGTTTGGACATAGATCTGTGTGTGTGTCTGTGTGTGTGTACCTACCATTGGGCGGTGGTTTGATGTCTGTGTCCCCCTGTTGGCTGGAGCTGTCCGATTGTCCGGATTCTGCACAGAAACAGCAGCAGGGGAGGAGAGAGAGAACCAAACGGTTAGGATCCGGTTTGCATGCTACAAGAATAATAAATAAAAATACAAAATGAAAAACATACTTGTAAGTGCACAATGTATCTGTGATTCATAGCTGTGCATGTGCGTCCGTGCTGCCAAGGCTGTGATATTTGAGGTGTGAGAGGAAACAAGAGGGACTTGCAGTATGTGCTGGAGTATGATATACATCTTGTGTGAATTCACGCATTTCTTTGTCACAGTCTTATATGGAATATTTATAATAATATATGTTCTTTCCCGTCCTCCATTTGTCCCTGTTGACTTAAGGTGCAATGATTTACAGTGTGCTGCCATTTAGTATCTAACCACGCAATCATATCCCTCGCCTTAATCCTGTTTAATACCTTCTTTCTGGTAGGGATTTTGTCTGCGTAAACAGAGCACCTCACACACACACAACACACACACAACTTTCTCTCTCAAGCTATTCCTTTCATTTTTGCTTCTCCCTTTAATACATGATGTATGCTTTGCATAAACACACACACACACACAAACACACAGACGCTGGGTGAAAGCTGACCATGCCAGTCCTGGCCGACAGTCTGTTTGAGGTGAGGCAGAACTCTTCCTCTTGGGATCAAATGACAGCAGAGCAACACGCACACACACACACACACACACACAACACACACACGCACCTGTTATGACTGGTTGACGAAAGCACTCACATGTGCAGACACAAACACGCCAAGTCTTGGCAACAAAGGGCCACAATTAGACCTGGAGGAGCTGCAGAGTGAAACTCGAGTGCTGAGAAAAGTCGCTCTGGAGACAGCGTATGCTTGTCCGGGACGTGGAAACGGAAGATGTCCCGCGTGTGCATGCGCGTGTGTGCGTTTACAAATACACAACTCAGGCTGTGTGTATGCTTCCCGTGGATCTACACGCGCCGGGACCCCGATGCTATTCGGCGGCCATTCGGGGGCCTCTCTCTCGGGCTGCCGCTAGCTAGCACGCTAGCTGAAGGAGGTGTTTATCTCCAGGCTGTAGGTGATAACAGAGCACGCGGACTCTCTGCCAGCAGCACTTGCCTTGCAGCCACACTAAGCCACAGATTACTGAGGAGAAACAATAACAGACCTGTCTCGCTGCCTACGAAGCACTGCTTATCCACAAAGAGGGAGAGAGGGAGAGAGAGGGAGAGATGGGGGAGACAGACAACGGCTAGAATGGAAGAAATGAAGAGAGCAGAAAATGAAAAGAGGGCTTCTTTTTTCTCCCTCTCTCCTCATGCAGGATCTCTCGCTGCTCTCCCGTCTCTCTCTCTCTCTCACTGGCTGGGTGTAATCCTGGCAGCCATCTTAGAGCTTGGCAGCCATCTTAGCATTGGCGGTAGCGCCACATTCCAGCTAACTGACGGCACTCACTCCAAACATACGAGGCTGCGCCCCCCCCACCCCCAGACGCACACGCGCGAGCACCCAGACATTTTCACACACAGACGCACACACTCCTACGTGGACAAACAGTGAGGTACACACTCAAAGAGTAAACATATATGATGGCCAATGAAAGCTGTTGAGAAAAACAACCCAACTTCACTGGACCTTTTGCCGCCATGTAGTATTTCACCACAGGGCTCTACAATATTGTAAACGCCCCATTTCTCACACCATACATGCACTGGGCAGACGCACAGCCACCTTACTGTATTTGCAGTATGCTGGAGGGATATCTGAGTCTAATGCCGAGGTCGCACGGTACGCTTTGCCACCACAAACAACACTTCAAAGGGAACGTACGACCTCAGCCGACAAAGGTCACGTAGCCTGCTGCTATTAGCTTATTGTTGCTCTATTGTCACTTTTATATTTATACTCAAAGGCGCAGTTATCTTCTTCCAAAATATTTTTGTCACTGTTGCGTAAAATCTCTTTACGTCCTGCGTGCAATCAACGTGTCAAATCGAAGACAAAATCCGGGCACTGTGACTGTAGGACGCCCGTTTAATTGTGTCATTCTAACGACTGGACAGCCTACCTGCGTCTCCCACAAGCTACCTGCGCAACAGCCGGGAGTAACAACAATAGCCACGTTTGTTGTTTTGAAGGGCGACTCAAAGTGACTTTCGTTTGTAGTGCGGCTTGATACTGTAGTTGGTAAACACCTGGTTGCTAGTTTCTCTGGTAACTGTCTTTTTGTTTTACTCTTATGAAGTGTGGAATGTGTTTGTCTGGAAAATGGTTTTAATTTGTCGGTTCCTGGTACTTGCTAAATGTTACAAAGTCCTATAACTCGTAGCAAGTTCAGACCTCCTTATAATAACATATTTACACCATGAAGAATTATGTAATTAACACTGTGGGAATGGTATCTTTATTTGGGCACCATAATTCCGTGATACTTAGTATCATTTAGTGTATAACACAATAAGTAATAGAAACCCTAATTAAACGGCGTGCTGTTGGCCTTCAGGCAAGACCGATCAATAAGAAAACATTTAGAAACCAGAGCTTTTAATGCTTCTGGCTCCATTTCTTTGCGCTCAGGCCGCTCAGTCAACTAACACAGCGCTACATCATTGATTGGAAATCAGTGTCACCGCTGTCTCCAACGGTGCATCGTACAGCTGGATAGACAAGCGAGGAGGACAAGGAGAAGGTGGCAAGACAGAGGAGGACTGGTTGGTGTTTATCACCGCTTTGCCAGCTGCTGCCTACAACAGCAGCGGCCCTGCCCCCTCCCTCCCCAGCCTCCTAACCACACATCCAGGCCCTTATCTTCCCACCGCAGCCCCCCAAAGCCCTCCCTTCGGCTATCCCAATCATAGTCCTGCAGTCCCCTTTGGATACCCCTCCACCTTCACCGACACCAACCCCATCTCTAACCTTTCAGCCTACCCCCTCACACCAGTGTATTGAAACAAAAATACGCACAGATTAAACATGTTTACTGTTTGACCCGACGTTGTGCAGATACAAACAGGAAGCACATGTAAAGGCACACCTTTTTGATAACCACTGTTTGGCAATCGCAATTAGACATTGGAGGATTGACATTCATCGTTTTTGTCTGTAAAAGTGTTGGGTTGTTGTACTGTGTCATCTACTCCTTTTCCCCCTGGTTTTACACAAATCCCCAGTCCCTCCCGGCCCTGGATGGCAAAATTCACTCAACGTGGCTTAGTTCACGACTCGTGCACGAAAAACAGTTTGCGATGCAAGAATTTTGAGGTCGAGAGCAAGTAAGACATTTTCAGCAATCCATCAGAATAAAACTCATTTGAAAGTTGCGCTTCTGTGCCACAAAATCCAGCTCTGTATTGTGGAGCCAACATAAGCGAGACAGCGAGATCCAGTTCCAGTAAGATGAAAGGACCTGAATCGCCTTTTTGGTAGCGGTTGGCGGCGCAAACCTGCACTGATATTGAACCAAAAATTTGAAGGAGCAAGAAATATGAGCAGATGTTTGCTCACATGGAGCCCTTTAGCACATGGCGCGCGGATACGTGGTGGTGAGTCCTTTTTCTTACTCCAGTGATTCTTTGCGGCTGCTGCTTCGTGACGGCCGCTGTCATTGGTTGCTGATTACAGAGTTTCCCTGCAGGCTTCGGGGCAACTCTCCCGACCCTCACCGCAATCAACACAACCCCCAGTCATCGTGGCCTTGATAGACCATGATGTGATGTGCCCCCACCCTCCCACACACACTGTGGGTGCTTTCTCCCTCTCACGATCCATTAATTAATTCAATCCGTGCCGTATTTTCCTCCTCATCATTCTTCTGCTTCTTCTATTGCTTCTCTTCCCCACTCTACTCTTTTCCCCTTGATAACGTGCTGTACTCCTAATCGCAAGAGTCATACAAAAACAAAGTGGCACCGACCACCCAACCAAAAACCAAGCCACCGCCCATCCAACAGTTGTGGATTAGGTTGTGGCTCAGTGACCTCTTCAGATCGGGAGGTTTACTGACGGAGATTGTGTCATGTCTGTGACTCCTTAAGCTAAAGATCAAATTTAAGCTCAGTGGTAAAAAAAAAACCTCAAAAAAAACAAACATATTTTACCAAACAAATTCATGCACCCTACAGTTAAAAACAAAAAATCAACAGATTGAATTTATTCATGCAGAAGAGGAATGCTGATATAAACACAGGATGAAGACCAGAGTAAGAGCCGAGGTTAAAATATGTGAAAGCGGGCCCTGCAGTGGCGTGCCGCTGTTTGACAGATGCATAAACAGTGATGGTCATCTGTGAGCGACTCATCAGTACACGCACGCACGCTCCTTACATCAATGTACAAAACCAACAAGTGTACTCTGTGGCCAAATCCAACCAGCGCGTGTCCATATGCGCAGTGTGCGACTGTCGCTTTTAGACAGAGATTTCCCTCCTTGTTGGAACAAATGTCAACTCCACATCCCCCCACATCCCGCCTCCACTCCCCTCTGCTCGCTTCTCCTCCCCAAAATACAGGATAACGCGGTACAGCCTCCCAATTGGGTTTCGCTTAAGAGGTTTATCGGTATGTTGCTAAACATTCTGACCTTTTTTTAATCCTTAATGCGCTTAAAATGTTCAAAACCCTCCTAATCCCCCCGGCTATCCCACACAGATGTTCACTCAGCTCTTTTATTGGACATTATTTTATTATTTTTTATTTATTTATATATATATATATATATATATTTTGCCATTTTATACTTTAATAATTTAAGTATGTGTCATATGAGGGTATATTTCTAGTTTTATGTTTACAACTCTTGTTCCTACTGTGTGTGTGTGTGTGTGTGTGTGTGCGCGCGCAGTGACGATGTGAATGTGACCATTTGAAATGAAAACACAAATAGATTTTATAAGGAAGTGAAATGCAGTATTACGTATAGCAAACACTGTTTGCGTAGTATATTAACTATGTATGCACAAACGTTTGTGTGTACGCACTGGATGTACAAATCAATGCCAGTATGTATGTATGTATGTATGTATG